AATGGCCAAGTGTAACCAATGAAAGGGACTGCAGTATAGTGGCACAAGTAATAAATATCGAATCCACGGGTCTCTAGAGTTACTATTACTCAGCTTCAGTTCATTATCTAGCAAACTAGATTAAGGATTGATTAACTAAACTACTCTACTAACTAAACTAAGTAAAACTACTAATTACAGTTTGGGAACTCACTTAGGTATGATTCCCCCTAGCTCCTCAATTAGGTCCAAGTTGTAATTCATTTTGGTTGATTTACTGTTGATTAAACTGCGGAAGATCCGACAGTAGCTTGGAATCTCTTAAGCTGACCAAGCCCTCTCAGTCTAACTATCCGGCAGACGACTAGTCTTCACCGGGATAGAAAGCTGAAGCAATAAGCACAGAACTCCACTACTGGAATTGGATTCCAGTACAAAGCAGTAAACTGGCTAACTCTCGTATAGCCAATCTCCTACTACCGAATGATGAGACTCTAGCAACCTAATCAGATTCTATCTATCTCAGATTGCAGCAGGAATCAGGAAAAGTTGATCAGACTTCAATTGACTCAATAAACATGCATCATTCGATTATAATCAAACAATATAGCATCCAAAACTTCATACAAGAAAGATCCTAACTCATGGAACTAAGGTTCCTCAAAACCTAAGTGAAGGGAAGTTACTCCATAGAGAAGAGAGAGACTGCAGAAATCTGATCTAGATCTTCAATCTCCATCTCCAAGCTTGATTCCCGAGCTCCAATGGCGAAGAAATCCTCCAAAATAGCTCCAAGAATGTTCCCAAGTCGCTCTCTCTCTCTAGGGTTCGTCCCTTGGGTGTTTGGGATCCAAAACCCAGCTCTCCTCTTCTTTGGTTCGGAATTTGGGTTAAAAACATCCATTCCCGACTCGCACGGCCAGGGTGCACGGTCGTGCACATCACCATTCTGGCCGTGCACCTCAAAACGCGGCGTATCAATTAGTTGAACCTCAGCCAACTCGCACGGCCAGAATTGTATGTTGCACGGCCGTGCGGATTTCACTTGTGCCCGTGCGTGCCCACGCACAATCCCGCACGGCCAAACTGGTCACTTGCACGGCCGTGCGTGGCCACGCACAATCCCGTGCGTGCCCACGCACGATCCCGCACGGCCAAACTGGTCACTTGCACGGCCGTGCGGGTTGTGGGTGTGCCCGTGCGACTTCCTCAGAACCTCGCCATGCGTCCGATCCTCGTCCAATCGACCCCAGACTCGCTCGTAAGCCTTCATTCACGTCCTAGGACCTGAAATATCACAAACAAGCACAACCTAGCGTGAAATCGGCCTAAAACACGAGAATCAACACCTCAAACGGTGTAAGAGTGGGGGTAAAAACATGTGTAAATGACGGTCTATCAATAACCAACTTAGTGTTATTTCCATTGATAACACCAACATCATATTTACTTCCACTCCAAACCTGCAACTCCAAATCGACTTCTCAATCTTCATACTGATAGCAGCCATTCTTACTATCAAACAAACTCCAACCAAACTCCACAAAGCAAAACTTCAGTCCAGCGCCAAATTCCCAAAACCGCAACCAAAGGCTCTGATACCACTTGTCAAAATCGGGGCGCTCAATTAGTACAATATTGTCCGCTTTGGGCCAAGCCCGCACGGATTTACTTTTGGGTGTCCTCCCCAAAAGGCCTCGTACTAATGAGATTGGTGGACACTAATATACAAGGGTTCCTTCCCTTGTATAACCGATGTGGTACTTGGATTGTCCCATAACAGTATCAAATTTTATCTAACAAACGAGTAATAACATATAATATTATATTAAAAATAATAGTTCGTACTTGAATTCACCATATAGCAAAAAAATTCAAACACGCTAAAATCTATCATATAAGTTCTTGATTTGCACCTTGAATGAAATGGAACAAACATCTTGTGAAAACCAAACACAGTGGCCTTCTGGAATGAAGTATGTTCATCGATTTTGTCAGGTTTTGACTGGGTTAAAGAAGGTTTGACGAATCCAAGTGAAGTACAGAAACAGGTGCGTGTCTTCAGTATTTCACATCGGGTCAACTCGTGGGTCGACCCTGAGGTTAACAACCTTGCGTATTATTTGTTTTTCATTAAAAACATACACCATAGACGTCTAATTCGTATTAGTAATAACACGATTCATAGATATTCCCAATGAATCATACAAAAGTCATTAATTTAAGTAAGGGCAGCATGAATGAATGTGTGTAAGGAGAAAAAGAATTACACTTACAAGCCATGAATCAGCTACAAAAATTACATTCTTTACATACATGACTGATTAGGAAACCCCAACAAGTGTTCAATAAGGCAACGAATATGCTTAGCAAGTAAACATTACTGTGTGAGTTCTCTCTCTAGTTTTTATGATAGATAGGGTAGCAAAAGAGTCCATTTAATCACAAAACTTTATGGGGTCGTTTGGATTGAGTATTTGGGGGTGTTGTTTGGTGTCAAATAACAGATTTTGTGTTATTTGACCTCAAATAACATGTTTGGCTGACAAAAAGTGGGATGCGTTATTTGGATGTAAGTGTTTTGCCAAATAACAGGTTTGAGACCAAATAACACAAAAAGTGTTGTTTGCCAAATACTTGGGAGGGGGCAGGTATTTGCCAAATAACAAGTTTGAGACCAAATATCACATACCAAATAACAGGTTTTATATTAGGTGGTATTTGTGTGGTAATTGACCCCAAATAACAAGTTTGTCAAATACTCAATCCAAACGACCCCTATGATGTAAAATAGATGAGTTTTTGTAAGAACTCTCAACTTAAATATGTTTACTGTAATTTTTTTCTTTTTTTTATAAAGGAAGCTAGGAAGCCAGAATTACAAAGACAAAGCAGGGATCAAGGGTAAACGAACCAGGCACCAGACCACCCAGGTTCGAGAGACCCAAACAAAAAACCCCAGAAAACTAAGGTAAGGCAGAGACAGAGGTAAAAGCAACAGTAACAGCCACAGCCTAACCCGAAATAACCATCCTGGGAAAGCTAACGCCAACCAAATATTCTAAAAGAACCTTATCTAAACCTGCGGGAGGCTGTACTAGTTCATACATACCAAAGGGATAGACGATACTGTACTTCGAGAGCCAGTCCGCGACTCTATTCCCTTCATTGCGTGTATGTACTAGTCGAACCATCCAGCTCTGAGCCATCATCCTTCGAATAGTACCTAGGAGGGTCGAATGAGGGTGTACCGGGTCATCCCTGTTGTTTATCAATTGCACCACTAGCTATGAATCTGTCTCAACAATCAGCAGTTGCACTCGTTATTTCCAGGCAAAGTTTAGTCCATGAAGGATACCCCACAACTCCGCTAACAAGGTTGTTCGATTACCGAGCTTGCTGCAGAATCCACCCATCCAGACCCCATCGCGATCTCGGAGGCTGCCTCCTGTCGTAGCTATCCCATTGTGGGCCTGGATTGCACCATGAGTATTGATTTTAAACCATCCTCTGGGGGGAGGGTTCCAACTAGGGATGACAATCAAACCCATGGCCGCGGGTATCCAACCGCCCCCGACCCAGTCAACGCGGGGAATCCCCGCTTTGACCGGGTATGGGTAAAACCCGCAAAAAGTTTGATGGGTATGGGGCGGGTATGGTTTTAGCCTCCCCCGCCCCATACCCATCCCCATACCCGCCCCACCAAGATAATTTCTTCATATTTAAAAAAAATATGTGCATCAAATTATAATCTATCAATGATGATGAGGATAACTTGAGAAAATAAATAGTAGAAATGCAATTGATTGGCCACCTTAATCAAAATCTAATTCATTTCTCTCAATTCTCATTTCACTCTTTCACTTTTCCCCTTGTCAACAAGATTATGTTAGTTAATTATTATTTAGTAGATGTATCAGAGTTAGAACATAATAATTTGAAAAATATTATACTCTATATTATGTATTAATGGATATTTTAGGATCATAATCTTTGAACCGTATTAAAAAAATGATCGTGTTTTATTGACTTCATGATATAATATGTTCGTTTAGAATTATAATTAGAACTTTTCTTGTAAGTTTTAGGTATAATAATGTTGGATGTACGGGTATGGGTATTACCCATGGGTACCCGAAACCCACGGGTATGGGGATGGGTTTGCAAAACATTCCCCCGCATGGGTATGGGGCGGGTATGGGTTTGGGTATTTGAAGATGGGTATGGGGATGGTTTAAGCAAACCCGCCCCAAACCCGCCCCATTGCCATCTCTAGTTCCAACCAACTAGCTTCTCCGTACGCCTCTGTTCCAAGCCAGTAGTGAGCTTCAAAGTAGCATATTCCCAAGTCTTGCTCCAATCTGTAGTTTTGGCAATCACATAGCCAAGTAGGACGGGTTAAAGTCTTACTGTAAATAATTATAAACTAAATGATCTTTCGAAAATACAGTTAGAATCAAAATCGAAACCAAAAATGAATTGTTACCGGTGATATAATTACCACCTAAGTTCTTATCTAATATTTCGACTCTTTGACTAGATCGCGTTGTCATTAATTATACCTAAACATACAAGAAAGCAAAACTTTGTGGCGGTCAGTAATCCATGGAAGCTCTTGCAAAGTCGTGTCCCTATTTTGGCTACATCTTTTTGCATGCCAATCCTTGTTTATTCCGGCCACTGACGGCGACACAATGAGGCGGCGGCGGGCAAATGGTTGAGCTTCAAAACAGGATGCGGCCCACCCAAGAAAACCTATCACCGTATGCCTGAAAAGGCTCAATTGCTACAAGATATCTCAGCCAAAAGCCCAATACATTTTGGGCCGTATTAATCTGATCTGGAATGGACCATATATACTGTATCGTCCAAACAGAGAAGCTGAAGCATAGATCATAAGTTAGAAGAAAAAGACATCTGTGCGTTATGAACTAGCACAGTATATATCATGCAAAGCAAATTAAACAGAAAAAAATAATTTATTTAATCAACTATACAAAAATTCAAACCAATCACGAGAAAGATTATGTTTTTTATCATAAGAAAATGATACAAAAAAACAAAAATTCATAGTAATCAAAAAAGATCATAAAACAATAACATAATGTCATACAAAAGACAAAATTATCACTACTTTGTGACAAATTATGATTTATGAACAGAGGCGGGAAAGCACAAAATTTGGTTTGAGACTTGGATCTCGTGAAAAAGTTGGGAGAATGATCGAGTGAGTTGCTAATACGAATTTGAGAGTTTCTAAGTACAGGAAGAAACAATTAATTAAGGGGTGTAAATCACAACGTTCCTAATCCTCCTAGTACTAGGATTCCTATTCCGATGCGGAAAATGGAAAAATTGCTCCCCAATCCAAATAAATACACCCCCTCGCCAGCCCACTCACTCGCCGCCCTCAAAATCTCCCGACAAAACAACAAAACAATGTCGCCGACATTCGCCGCCGTCCTCCCGGAGGAATTCAGGTCCAGAATCGCCGCCATGTCCGGCCAGCGAATCCAACTAGTAATCCAAAAGAGGCTCACCGCCACCGACGTCTTCAAAGAGCGTTTCCTAATCCCGGCGTCGCAAGTCGCGTCCCCAAACTTCCTGACACTCGAGGAACAGGCGCAGCTCAATTACAGCCGGCACAAGCCGATCGTCGCCGTGATACTTGACCCGTCGCCGAACTCCTGCGCCGTCGACCTGAAGCGGTTCAACGGCACGGGTCCCTACGCCATCACGAGCAACTGGAGCCTGGTGATGAAGCGGAACAGGGAGGCTCTCGTCGAAGGTGCTCTGGTCCAGCTCTGGTCCTTTCGCTGCGCGTCGGAGCTTTGTATCGCGGTGGTTGTTGCGGACGGCGGGGATGAGGCGGCGGCGGAGAAGGAGGAGATTTTGATGAGGGCTGGGTATATGGCGTATGAATACTTGAGGAGGAATAATATGCTTGGGTAATAGGAGGGGGCAACCATTTGAATTGTGAATTGTGGTGTATAATAATCAAGTTCCAGTTATAATTTGCTGATGAAAAAAATATGTATTAGTGTTATCTAATCAAGTATATAATTTTTAATGAATTGGTCAGATATGTGATGTGGTCTAAATTTGTACTAAATTGTTAATCAATGTGATTCGATTTGACTGTACTAACTGCGCTACGATCGAAGATGCATAGCTGGTTCAATTGACATGCGGTGCAGTGCCATTAAAGGGGTCGTTTGGAGAATATGAATTTAAATCTATAGAGTGTCAACAATCTAAAGATTCTAATTCTTTGGATTGGTGAAAATAGATTTTAAAAATGTTTATTGTTTGGTAATTGTGATTGTTAGCATTCAATGAAAATAAAAAATTAATTTTATATTAAATAACATGTTTATCCTTAATAAAAAATTAGAGGGGTTCGAGAAATATTAAAAATTTTGTTAATAAATATATTTAATAAGATAAATAAATAAAAGAAAGAGAAATAGTAGGAGAAAACAAAATCTCACGAATCAAGATATAGGAATCTCTCTGATTATTAGAGATTTGATATCCATAGATTTTAGGAGATTTGCCATCTCTAAAGCTAAAATCCACAATGCAAAAAACAACAAGAAACATAACTTTCTACAAAATCTACGGATTCAATGAATCTACGTAGCAGATCTCGTTATCCAAACGACCCTTTACATCAATGTGGTGTGGTGCATAGGGATGGCAACAAAACCCGAACCCACGGGTACCCACCCGACCCAACCCAGTCAACGCGGGTAAAATCCGTGTTGAGGGGTTTTTGGTCGGGTTTGGGTTTAAACCCGTTCACTATTTATCGGGTTGGGGTTGGGTTTAGGTAAACTCGACCTATGGGTACCCGCCCACACCCATATAGTTAATTTTCTCGGTATATTTAATATTCTAAACAACTAATCTTATTTATGTTTGTGGAGACATATCTGGTTTTTTCTTTCAAATTGTGTAGAATGAAGTTGATGTTATCGAGTGGAGAGTGAATAAACTTAATTGAAAGAAAGAAGTTTTCAATTAATCATGTTATTTATGGATAATTTGTGATTTGCTTCAATTTTCTCAAGTATTCTACATTGGTGTTGAACAATTTGTATAGTTAATTTGTGATTTGCTTGAATTTTCTAGAATGATGTTTTATATATGGATAATTTGTATTGAGAGATTGATATTTGACTTTAATTTTTATATGAACTTGTTATTGTAAATTTTTTACGACAAAAACCCGTGGGTACCCATGAACCCATGGATACCCAGCGGGTTGGGTTTGAGTTTTTCAAACCCAGTGAATTTTACCCCGGATTTTTTTCAAGAATAAACCTATGAGTTTGCGTTTGGCAAAACCCAACCCAACCCAATCCGACCCATTGCTATCCCTAGTGGTGCCGTAGTGCGGTGGGTTGCCCACTGCCCAGCCCTAAAATCAAGGGATCATTTTGTTAGAAAACAAGAAGTATGATTACTGATTTCTTATATTTTAAAGTTTGGTTGATATTTTGCCAAGTTCACCAAATTCTAATGACCATTTGGATCTTTGACACCGTCTAATTTTACTGAATTCTTATTTGTAGCCTTAAGTTTATGAATTTATAGCCCTAAACTTACATATATGGACGATTTTACCCCTCATTTAACCTAAACCCTAAATGCACCCACCCAATCCTTCCCTGCCGTTCCCTTACCCTGTTCTCCCCCAAATCAACAAAACACAATCTCAACCACCAAGACCCGCCGCCGCCCTAAACTATCGCCATCTACCACCAAGACCCGCCGTCAACCAGAGTCGTCGCCCAGAGCTCCGCCGCCGCCCTAAACTATCGCCGTCAACCAAACTCACCTCCGCATGTGACTGTCGCCGAGGAGAAGCCTCCAACCCGCTGCCGCCACCAAGACCCGCTGCCGCAACCCTTCTCTTTTCAACCCGCTGCCGCCACCGCAGACCCGCTGCCGCAACGCTGCTCAGACCCGCCGGAGGTAAATCTCTCTCTCCCTCCCTTCTCTTTTGGTTGAGTTGCGCCGACTATACGGGTTGAAAACCGTCGCCAGTGGCTAGAGGCAGGTAGGGCGATCGATTTGGCCGGGGGTAGACGCAGGCAGGGCGCCTGCGCGGATCCGGCGGAGCCAGGTAGCCCACCTGCCCCGACCCTGGTCCGATCCGGTCTCCGACCCGCCCTGACCCTGGTCCGACCCGTTTCCCGACCCGCCCAAACCCTGATCCGACCCGTTTTCTGACCCGCCCGACCCGTTTTGATTTTTTTCAATTAAAATGCAAATGTTAATGATTAGAATGTTCATTTTAATTAATAATATATAAATTTGAATGGTAAATTATAATCAATATATGACATTTTATAATGGGAAGGAAGAAAAGAATCTGTTTGTTGCGTTGTTGTGTGATGAGAGGATGTTAATTAACATTTGACAATATAAGTAATGTTTGAATTGAAAAAGTTGTTGATTGTTAATAATGATTATAAATAGTTAATGAATATAGGATTGTTAATTGTAATACTAAGAAGAATTAATTTTATTTTCTTGATAGTTGGTAAAATAAGCGAAAGAAAGGGTAAGAATTAGTACGAGGGTTTGTGATGATTAATATAATTAGTATTTGACAATATAATTTGTATTGGAATTCATTTTATGGTTGTAAATAATTATTATGTATAGTTAAAAGATGTATGGTTGTCAATTACAATTCTGAAAATAAATAATTTTATTTTCTTAATAGCAGGCAACAATGAGCGAAAGAAGGGGCAAGGAAAAATCGAGGGTTCTCGGACGCAACGTTACAGTATCTGAGCGGAAAAAACGTCAGGAGGAGTCAGATAGACTTCGTGAGGAGGAGCGTCAGCTTTCGCGTCGTCAAGCTGCAGTGGATCCTCCCCCCTCATAGCCATGTTTCCCAGCCGATACCAGGCATCACATTTGGATGTTGGATATTTTATGTTTTGATGTTGGATATTTCTTAAGATTGATGTTGAATATTTCTTAAGATTGATGTTGAATATTTCTTAAGGTACATTTGGATGTATTATGTTTGAGTGTTTATTTACTAATTAAAATTTTTAACCACTACTTATATATCTAACAAAAACACAACAAACAACAATTTTTAATGATCACACAAAATTACTTGCACCATCGGGCGGGTAGGGAATATGGCTCAACCAGCGGTTAGAAGGGTAGAAAATATGTCTCGACCTCCGGGAGGGCGGGTAGGATATATGCCCTCACCTCCAGGAAGGCGGGTTCACAACATGCTTTGTCCACGGCCTGTGCTGGAAGGGTATATTCCTGCACCATCCGTCAGGTGGGTGTGCAACATGCTCAACCCACGGTGAAGATGGGTAGGTAAAATGTTTGGTCCGTGGTGCGGCAGGTTTTCAACCCGCCTAGTCTATTTTTTCAGCAACAATAATTGTGAACACAATTGATTAATTTCAACTAAATCCACATAAATTTGAACACAAAATCATTGATTAATTCCACCTAAAACCACATGCATTTTAACACAAAATGTCAATCCTTGATAATTGCACCTAAATCCACACATGGCATACAATTCCTGCTCCTGTTGGTATAACTCATCTCAATGCGGAATTGTGCTCATATTCCAAAAATGAGTCCATTGTGGACTAAAATATGGCATTGGTGTCACCCCATCGACATTGTCGAGAACTAGTCGAACCCAATGAGCCCTAGAAATTCAATGCGAACCCAATGTTGAAGTTCTTCTTCACCGGACTAACACCAATCAACTGAACCAGTGGCTGCTTATACTTGTTAGTCTTGTACGTCGAGTCTATCAAAACAACAAAATACCATGCCAACAACATCCGAATCGACTCAGGATGGCATAGGAAGAGTCTAGTAACACGACGTTGATCATCAAATTCACACTCAATAAGGTAGCCAAGACGTTGAGCTTCTATCAATGTCCACCGCATAGGTTTCAACCCACCCAATCTCTCACGCCTAATTTTTGCTGTCTCATTATAAATCTGAGTCATGTTGTGATGAGCATCGTACTTCATATTGAGCAAACTTCTGATATCTTTCGCCTGAGTATGTGTTGCCTCCAACTCCTTAATATTCATTTTTTCCACCTGCGAAAGAGCATTCTTTTGCCTGCTTCCCTCAGAGTAAACCTCCAATCTGTGACTGTGAAATCCCCTCGACTTAATCCCATGAATTCTCCACTTACAATTGCCATCTATTTTTACGGATTGCACCACCACTCGGAAACGACAATCTAACTTGCCTGTTGTAGATTTGCTCCGTGTTGTCTTTGCGGGATCAGACGTATATGAGTTGCTCCTACTACCATGGTTGCAATCCATGTAGATCCGCGGATTGCCTTCTCCAACGTTTCTCTTGACTGATGCCACTATCAAGGAAAAACTATTACTCATGGCAATCTCCTTTGCCGCTTTACAAGCTTGATCATGGCATCATAAACATCACTTAGAAACAATGATGTGCAATCAACATTGTCACCCTCATTAACTCCGGATCCACCCTACAAGAAATACAAGGTAAAAACATTTACTTGTGCAACAATTATGTTACGATAATTAAATTATAAAAAATAACTACTTACCGAATCATCCATAATAGTTTCCTTGTTAGTAAATGATGGTGGCACAAGATTTTTATCCTCCTTCCTAATAAACACAATTAACAACGAAACTTAATGAACATAAATATTATAATTTATGTGAATTTTCATTAAAAAAGGTCCATGACATCACAAAATTAACTCGAGCATGTTCAAAACTAGACCAGACCAACGGACGGGCATGTTAAAAACAAGAAAGAACCGTGGGTCGAGCATGTTGAAAACATGCCGAGACAGGAGGACGAGCATGTTGCGAGCATTCCTGGAGGATGGAACGGGCAGGTTGACAACACGTCCGTTCCATGGCTGACGCAGGGTTTCAACATGTTTGACCACCGGTCGAGGCAGATTTTCAACATGCTCGACTTGTTTTCCAGAAGAAAAAAAAATTGCAAACGAAATCTTACCTTTAGTCCGAGTCCCTGCATGTTATGACGATCGAGACCGACTACTTCTCTACCTCCGGCAAACTCGTCGGAATCCGGCGAAAATTTATCAATGTAGAAGATTGTAGTTGGATTTTGTGTTGTGTGGTTTGGTTTTAATTTTTGGTTTGATATTTCTGTTTTGTGTTGGAAGAAAGAGTTAAATGGGTTGGGTTAGATGGTTGGAGCATTAATTCTAGGTGGTTGAACCATAAAATTAAATGAATGGTTGTTTTGTAAAATTGTATGGTTTAGGGCGACGAAATTTAAAAATTTAGGGCGACGAATAGTAACTCTCTAATTTTACGCATATAGGCTATAGCACAAAAAACACGAGCCCGCGGGAGATTCGACGACGACGGCGGCTGCAAGGAGTGGAAGTACCACACCATGGGGAAAAAGAAAGAGAAGAAACACAGGCAGCATGCTCCGAGAACAGCTTCTTATTACTACGATGACGATTACGGCAATGGCGGAGAAGATAACGACGACCCAGAAGGCGTAATTGCTTCTTCTGCTCTTTCCGATCGAGATAAAGACGACGACTTTCCAGAAGACAATGAACAAGACGAAGCCAACCCATCTGGCGATATTCCTTCAAAGTATCTCCTTTACCAGCAGTCCGTACAGGCAAGCTGAGGATTTCCAAGTTTGAGATACGTTGGGTTTTGTTTATTTAGGAATAAGAGAAACTCCTTTTCCCCCAATTTGTTGTTTTGCTGCGTTTTTCATTCCTAAAATGGTTGCTTTGTGGCGTAGTTTGCTAGTATACATTTTCAAGGTTGCCAATGCCAAAGACCATGCTTTTAATGGAGAAAACAAGCTCATTTTAGAATTGAAGTGTTTTTTGGGTTGTTGGTTGAAGTTCTAATTGGTAAAAGAGGGTTTTCTTTTTGTGTCCATGGGTACGCAGTCACCCAAAGGAGACATAAGCTATTTGCAGAAGTTCTTTCTGATGTATGTGGGTGGGAGAGTGCCTCTCCATTTCCAGGAAGATTTCTGTGGCACTGCTCTTCTTAGGTATGAAATGTTCAGCTCAGCTGCATCCTTTCTAGCACAAGTTTGTTAAGTTACTTTGTTTCTTTGTTACTGAGTATGGTGATATTCTGACACTCCAGTTACCTACCTGAGGATTGATTCACAATTTGACTTCCGATTGCTAAACTGTGTCTGTGATGGCGCTTCGTTATGGACAACTGAGTGCAACTTTGTAGTTATCTGTAGTTTATTAATGTTCTTTGGTTAATTCTTTCAACCTTTAAACCTCGCAGTTCCCTAAGATTCCAAGTAGGTTAGACTTTTTAAGCCCTTCTGTCAACTACTTGTTTAGGTAATACTGCCTAAAACTCTTTGCACATTGATGTTCTTTGCAGTACAGAATGGCTGAGGGGCGACTCTAGGCGGACTGCAGTCGGAGTGGATCTGGACCTGGAGGCACTCGAATGGTGCACGGAGAAAAACATAAATAAAGTTGGTGCTGATGTATGTTCCAGAATATCCCTCTTCCATGGCAACGTATTGCAGCCTCTTGAGGCGAAACTGTTGAGGAGCGAATCCGACGAACTGAGAATCAGTACTATTAAGTTGGAAGAGGGTGGAATTGGAGAGGAGCCTGTTCCAACTGGCGATGTTCTCGATTCTTCTACCGAAGAGGGTTTGCCATGCTCCCCTGATGACAAGTACTTGAAGAGAAACCGTCCCCTGCCAGCAAGAGACATTGTGTGTGCTTTCAACTTCAGCTGCTGTTGTCTCCACAAACGGGCAGAACTTGTTTTGTACTTCAAGAACGTTCTTGACTGCTTGTCCAGGAAAGGTGGGATCTTTGTGATGGATCTGTATGGTGGTACTTCATCCGAGCAAAAGCTGAGGCTTCAGAGAAGATTTCCTAATTTCACGGTAAATTAAAACACTGTCTTCAATCCACCTCTGCTGCATACTGTGATCGTGATCCCTTCAGGCACTGAACTAATATTCATCTGTTGTAGCTATACATGCCAACTCACACCCTCCATTGCTACATTGTGAGAGCCATTAGGTTTCTGGATATTACTACATCTATCTATGCCTCTAAAGCTGTGGTTTCTTTCAATTCTAACTCCGCAGTACACGTGGGAGCAAGATGAGTTCGACATAGTTGCACGAAAAACAAGAATCAGCCTCCATTTCCATCTCCTGAAGCAGCAGAAGAAAATCCGCCACGCCTTTTCATACAGCTGGAGATTGTGAGTCGTCATTGTCTCCCAATGCTTTCTGCCCCAGCCGTCCTCCTCGTATTACAACCTGGACTTCGAAGTTCTGTTCTTACTGTTATGTTCGTGTTTCCAGATGGTCATTGCCGGAAATCAAAGACTGCTTAGAGGAGGCAGGGTTCCGGTCCGTCCATTTCTGGCTCCGCAAGATGCCAGACGTGGAGGAAAGCAGGAGCACGCAAGGGTTCGGTGCAGGACGAGACATCAAGTACGAGGAGGTCCAGAAGTTTGAGCAAGAGGATTCCTGGAACGCATACATCGTCGCTGTTGCAAACTAACAAACCCCTCTGCTTGGTTCTCCCCTTTTGTTTCAGAACAGTAACTGACATTGTTATCTTTTGTTACAACATTGCCATTTTCCAAAGATTTATGGCATCTTAATGCCATTTCATTTGATCATAACCGCGTGGAGAATGGAACTAGAAGCAGCAGCTTGGAAGAGACCGCGACAGGCTGGGTAAAGGAATCCGTCCTCCTTTGCCTTCTCTGCTCGTTAAAATACTGGTCATTGTTTTTCTACAGCCGACGAACATTTTTCACGCGAGATATTAATCAGAGATATTATCGTAATTTAATCGGCGATTACAAGCATCCATTCTTTAATTTTATTTTGTGTAAAATAAAATTGGAATCTCAAAGTCCTACATTAAATAATGCATTAATCAATTTTTTTTTTGACAAAAAAATAATGCATTAATCAATTGAATCGATGATAATATGAAAATAATAACACGATCTAATTCCAGTCATTTTTATGATTAAAACTTAGAAGAAGACTAGTAAAAAATTATCGAGATTCCTTTTTATTGCAGAGAAAAGGAAAGGAAAAATAAAAAAATGCGAGAGATTCCTTTCGTTGCCGAATGCCGTGTTTGGTTTCTGTTTCCTACTTTCCGTTTCCTTTCCCCATTTTCGGCTTCTTCTTCCTCGATTATTTATTTTTTATTTATTTATTTATTTATGTGGAGGTGGTTGGGTTCGCCTTTTATAAAAAAAAATTTCCTGGAAACCCCCAATTCCCATTCCCTCAATTTCTGGTTCTCTGAATTCCACTCCCATCTCCGAATTTCCTTCCACCTCCAAAAATCCGATTCCTTCTCCTCTCTTCTTCAACAAACCAGATCCAAGCAGGAAACTGAATCGAGATCGGAGGCCAGGAAAGGTAAACTCGTAAGCGATTTCTCGTCGGATCTGTTTGGCTTCTTTTTTTCCATATATATATTTCTGATTTATGTGTTCTGTTTCGATTGCTTTCGCCAGAGATCGATTCGACAGTAAATCGGGAAGGAGAGAGAAGAGAAGGATGGCGGAAGAGCACAGATGCCAGGCACAGCGTCTCTGCGCCAACAACTGCGGCTTCTTCGGGAGCTCGGCGACGCAGGATTTCTGCTCCAAGTGCTACCGAGATCTGCAGCTCAAGGAGCAAGGCAAGATGGCCTTGAACCAAACCCTAGCCACCTCCTCCTCCTCCTCCTCCGCGATCCCTTCGCCGTCCGCCTCCGTTTCCCTGCCTTCTCCGGCGGTGGGGATTGTCGGTTCGGAGAAGGGCGCGGCGGCGGCTCCGGCGGTGGCGGCCGGGGTGGGGACGCAGGCGAACAGGTGCAGCCAGTGCAGGAAGCGCGTGGGTCTCACGGGGTTCAATTGCAGGTGCGGGATGGTGTTCTGCGGCGGCCACCGGTACCCGGAGCAGCACAGCTGCGGGTTCGATTTCAAGAGCATGGGGAAAGAACAGATCGCCAAGGCCAATCCGGTCGTCAAGGGTGAGAAGCTCCACAAGATCTGACCGACGTTTCGAAACGCGTTAAAAAAAATTGATTTAAGAAAAAAAATCCGAACGGCGTTTCTTATGGATGTGGGGTTTCTTGTTGATTGGGGGAAAATTCGGGATGTTATTGTTGTTACCGTGGCTAGCCGGAACCAGCCGCTTAATGTCGGCTGACCGACCGGCGCCGGTGGTGGTGATCGGCGGTGATTATTAGGTGACGGGATGGTTTGAATTTGGGGGGTTGGGTTGGGTGGGTGGGTGGGGTCGGGCGGGGCATTATTATTTGCGGTAGTGGGTTTGTCGCTTTGCCTTTGCTTAATGTACATTCTTAATCATGATTTGCTCGTCTTTTATTGGGTTTATCATATTCTAATTGTGTTGCAAGTTGCAACCAGAGATTCTTAATCACCCTCAAATAATTAGCACATAAAGACAAACAAATGTTCTTTGGTGGTGGTTTGTCGTGTTAATCAACATCGTTATCAACATGATGCCTGGTTTATGTCGGATTAAATTATGAAAGAGACATCGAAGGGATGCTAAACAAAATAGAATTCAATGAAGATAAATTTTATAATGTTATATAGTATTGGTGTTATAGGTTTTTGCTTTTATGGTACAACTTAAAATTGTACATTTACGTTATGGTACAACTTTAGATTGTACCTATACTTTTTGTACAAATTCTTTTATGGTACAACTTGAACTTGTACCTTTATGTGACGGTACAACTTCAAGTTGTAAAATTGTACCATAACATAATAATACAAATTGCTTTATGTTACAACCTAAACTTATATATTTAATGTTATGGTACAACTTTGAGTTGTACATCAAAGCGCCAATGCTATATAGCATAGTAGAAGTGCTCTTTCAATGAGTTGTATATCATTCAAATGGGTTTGTTCTCCTAGCCAAATTAAAACGAAGTTGTAATCGTTCGGAGGTCGAGAGGGCATAACACCCAAACTAATAATTCTTCGGTTATGCGAAAAATTGATCGTATAAAATGTTAGCGGGAGCAACAGTTAAGACTTAAGATTCATACATGATCTTCTTTAATGGATCATTCTGAACTTCTTTGTATTCTGAGTATAGATATATTATACATAATACAACAATGATTTTTGAAACTCAAACAATTTTAGTATACATATAATGTTGATACACACTACTAGTAATACACCATTTCCCAGATCAAAAGTTGCAACTTGCAAGCATAGGTGAAGTAGCCACAATTAGGGCTGGAAGTTTGATACCGGTATTTGGGATATACCGAATACCGTACCGAATTTGTCTATATTTGGTAATACTGAATATGCGTATTATTTCTTGGGATTGGGATTGAGTTTCAATTGTTATTCGGTATTAGGAATTACAGGATTGAGATAGGTATATACCAAAATATAAGCTAGTGTGTATTTTATCCTCTCAACTAGACTCTCTCATTCACTACTACACAACCCTCAACCACCAATATATTGTTATTTTCATAACACCAAAAAACAAAACACTAGTATTAGTCTTCTCCCAACCTCCAATTTGCCAAATTAAAGATTACCAATGATATAAACTTGAGATGTCACCTCTCCTCCATTCTCCTTATCCATATCCTAACTCTAGCCAAACTCAAGACTCTTTGCTTAGTCTCTTTGTCCTATATTAAACAATCAAATCTAATTTATATATTTAATTATTAATTGTAAAGGTAATTAATTTTGTATTCGATAATACCGATTGAGATACCGAAATACCCATTGAGATACCAAAATATTTGTGGATTGAGATTGGAATTAAGATTGATTTTAAGATGTAATTCGGTATTCGGAATTTCAGTATTTGATATTGAGATACCGATACCGTATCGATTTTCACCCCTACCCACAATAATATAGTTTCACCTCTCCTTTCAGAAGTGCTAGATATTGCCCTTAACTCGAGGGGGATATGCATGTAATTGGAAAGTAGGTAAAGTGGTTGCCACAAAATGGCCTATGCTCGCTGGCCTTGTTGCCACCACACCTCCTACTTGCCTTGGTTAGCTTATTCCCATCCATAGGAGGAGTCTCTCATCCCCTTAGGATTAACCAAAGTCAAACCATCCTCAACATCTGCTCCAGTCACTAGACTTTTTGGGTGGATTAGATGACGAGTTAGACGAATTTCGGAGCCACTAAACTTTTTATCTATTCCAGCAACAAATGTTATCTTGTTCGCGATTATCCCGATCCGTCATTGTTGAGGATTCCATCAAGAAAGTCGGGGATAACAACCCTTTAACTTAACAGAACACATCAAATGTTAGCAACATCAAATTATGGGGTTGGAACTGGGGTGATTAAGTACTGGGGTTAAGGCAGTCCAGTCCATAAACAAACATGCATTAGGTCAAGGACGTTATAATAGCACCAAAAAGGATTAGACTTTCGATTATTTTAAGTTTTAACCATTAGATTGGCAGAACGAGTACGTTAATTGAGGAGCAGTATTAAGAAATTCCCAAGTGGACTGACCGCCCTTTTTCATGCCTGTCGTTCTGTGATTAGATGTTAATTAAGTATTAGTGTCGTAGTGAATTGCAATTAGAAGGCAGGTGCGGCTGACTGTGTAAGTTGATTACTTGGCTAATTTAATAGCTGCAAGCGGGAAATAGAAGACAATTAAGTAATAGTCACGAAGACTATTTGTATTAAGAATTTAAGACCGTTAAACTAACCCTACTCAATCCAAAGGCAAGTAAGTAATTAACCAGCTTGTTAATTACAAAGACTATCTTATACTTCGAATTCTTAACAGTTGGAACACAAATTTGGCTGATCTAAGCGAATCAGGGTCGTCCCATAATATTTGGAGGCCCTGTTCGACAATTTAAAATGTGGCCCCAAAATTTTTTTTCACAAATTTATTAAAAATAAAAATCATTAAATAATAATAAAAATTACATAACTTCAAAATGATTAAAAAATTAATAATACTTTCTATTTTTTAAATATTATCTACGCTTAGAACTATCTTTTTAAAAATGTTGGGTTGATATAATTAAAAATTATAATCAAAGATTAATGTTTCCAAATTACCAATCAATATAAGTTGATTAGGAGTCTGTATAGTAGGGATAGAATTTAAAACAAGTTGATTAGGAGTCTGTATAGTAGGGATGAAGATTGATTAGGAGTTAATTAGAATTGGGTGTGACCAATTCATATTTAGGCGTTGGGTGATTTTGGGAAGTTGAGAAATTTTGGGGAAAAAGAAGAATACAGAAAGGAAGTGGTTTGAGGTGTAATGGTCTGATAAGGGTCCGACCTATTTGAATTATTTATACATTTTTCTTAATGTATATACAAATAATATAGTAATTAAAAAATTTAATGACCGAAGGAAAATTTATCTTACATGTATCAATTAAAATGTCATCTTCCATACTCCACCATCTCCCTTCCCTCTCTCCCCCCTCCTCCCTTCTCTCTCTTTTTCTCCCTCCTTAGGAGTCAGACAGGAGAATTTCTGAAAGTCAATTTGAAACGCGACTTAGCCGTACTGAATTCAAACGAGAGATCGATAGGGGTTTAACAACGTTGCAACGAAGATGGTGAGTGAACAAGTTGAAGAAGAAAGAAAGATGACTTAAGGGGAACGTTTTCTTTCCATTATTTTTGTTAAAATTAGGAAAAGGACTGGATTTGCATCCTCTTTTTTCCCTTTAGAAAAATAAAAAATGAAATGGATCTTTGAGATGAGATTGCGAGAAAAAAAACAAAAAACAAAAATGAAAAAGGAAAATGATGGGTGATGGTTCCAAGATCCCATCACCTCCATGGCTCCATCCCCTGCTGCCCACCAAACCACCAAAAACTTCCACCCTCGCCATTAACAAGGAAGAATAAAGAATTAGATAAAACCAACAGAAAGGAATCCCTTCCTTCCTTCCTTTCGCTACTCCGTCGCGCAACAAGGAGCCCAGATTTACCTCCACACTATATATCCTCCACCGCCTTCCTCTCTCCCCATCCCCAGATCTCCTCCGCCGCCGCCTTCTTCCTCCTCATGAAATTCCCATTAGTCACCCACCGCTCCCTTCTTCTCCCCTTCTCTCCCTTTTCCTCTCTCAATCTCCCATTGTAGCACCTACCCACCTCCGCTTATTTTCGTCGGTGGGCGGGCGGGTGGGCGGATTTGTGTGTACATGGAAGAACAGAAGAACCCATCTCACTCGTAGCAAATTCGCGATTGAATGATTCCCTCTGCCCTCTGGATGAGAAAACCGAAGATGGATCTGAGATGGGTATTGCCGGAATTTGATGAAGACAGCTAGCAATACTCCCCTTTAACACTCCACATTGACGACGGGTTGAGTGTGCTACAGCGGCAATGAAAAGGTCAGTTCGTCCCGTCTTTAGCATTCTCATATTCGTTCTCTTCGCCGTCACTCTCAGCTTCCGGATTCTGCTCCGCCGGACCTTGTTCGCCTCGATTGAGCTTCCGCACAATGTAATCATGCCCCACCCTGAAATCGCCCCTGTCTTCAATTCCACTCTGTTGAAATACGCCGCCATAGACATAGGCGAGGCCAAGGCCAAGCAGGAGATCGAGCAGTTGCTGGAGGGGAATTTCGCCAGCAGGGGAAGGTACAGGACTTTCGCTACTTGGAGAAGGTTCAACAACCATGACCCTAAAGCGACTTCTTCTCGAGGGATCCCGGTGATGCTCAGATCCCCTGAATTCTACCGCTACTGGCTCGACTTCCGGCGGCTCCTCCATCTCTGGGCGAGGAACAGAAGGTACCATCCTGATGTAATGGACGAGCTCGTCGAGCTAGTGAAGAAGCCAATTGAGAAGCAGAAAGGGTCGAGCTCGAATTCGAATTCGCGACGTTATGCTTCTTGTGCTGTTGTGGGCAACAGTGGGATCTTGCTGCAGAAGGAGTACGGGAAGTTGATCGATAGCAATGAGATGGTCATTCGATTGAACAACGCCAGGACTGCCAAGTTCGAGAAGAATGTAGGGGCGAAAACCGATCTGTCTTTTGTAAATAGCAACATTGTGCATCTATGTGCTAGGAGGCAGGGTTGCTTCTGCCATCCATATGGCCCTGAGGTGCCCATTGCTATGTACATTTGCCAGCCAGCTCATTTCCTGGACTACACGCTGTGCAATTCTTCACACAAGTCGCCGTTGATCGTCACTGATCCGAGATTCGACCTGTTGTGTATGCGGATCGTGAAGTATTACTCGCTGAGGAGGTTCGCGGCGGAGACTGGGAAGTCGTTGGATGAATGGGGAGCTGCTCACGATGGGTCTATGTTCCATTACTCTTCTGGATTGCAGGCTGTAATGTTGGCTGCAGGGATCTGCGACAGAGTTCATGTGTTCGGGTTTGGGAAGTCGAGCTCCGCGAAGCATCATTACCATACGAACCAGAAGGCTGAGCTTAAGTTACATGATTATGGAGCGGAGTATGATCTGTATCATGATTTGGTGCACAATCCAAAGGCTATACCTTTCATTTCCGACAAGTTCAAGTTTCCTCCTGTAACGATACATTATTAGACAACGGTTTGTTCTGTATTTTGTTGGCAGACTTCCACGTAAACGTTACACGAGAAGAAAAGTTCGTTTCTTTTTTGTGTGTTTGACCCTGTTCAACAAAAATGGCGATTAGGGGTCCATACGAAATGTGTAAAAACTTGATGGGTTAATGCAAAGTGTGAAGCTTTTATTCATTTCCGCAACTCTCATTGCGTTTACAGCCATTCCTGTTCAGAACTGGGGTAACTGTTGCTAATGGTGCAAAAGCATTTCATTTGAGATTCCTTTCCTATTTTGCTGAAACTTCTGCAATTTACTACAACCAAAAGCAAAGAGCAGCAGCTGATACATATACATATATGTGCAGTCATATGTTCTTCCCAAGTTTCTAACAGCGAGAAGTACAGAACCATATACAAAATTTTGGAAGAAACCTACTACTTCCAGGCATTACATGCTGCACCAAAAGTTTCCTAACATCTAAAATCTTCTTGCTAGTCTCCGAGCAAAGAAGATTTCCCGCCAAAAGAGTGAACAAAGGCTGCCCAGAAGGTTCTCCAAAGGCTAAGCCGCACTTTATGCAGGTTCTACATCTTCAAGCTCGGCATTCTGCTCCTCGTACTTGACTGCCACCAAAAACCTTATGCTCGTCTGCGAAGTCACCAAACCAAGGTCAGTTTTCAACATCTAGCATTTGTGATCATGGATCTAGAAGGAAAGGTTAGTGTCGGTCACTTTTCTATATACCATTTTCGGATCATAGACAGCATATTCATTATATTCTAGAACGCTGTCTTTATGCTCTGAAGGCACTAGCTTGCCACAAGGAACTTTGATCCCGTCCTTCCATGTGAAATGCTCAGCTTCATCGGTTTTCTTCCTGCCTAGACCTTTCACTCCAACTTTCTTCTCTTCCAGGCTCTTGGTATCCTGGGGTGGGGTCTTCACCTCGAGGATCTGATTGCCAAGAGAAGCTACTGCCAGAACTAAGAAACCTTCCGGCCTATCCACAGCTGTATATCCATATTTAGCTGCTTCTGCTGCTGCATCAGAGCAAACTATTCCTCTTCCAAACTGGAACCCGAAGAATGAAGCGCACTGTAAGAATTGATCTAGTGAAGAAGGTAAAAATTCGATTGATTGAAGTATAATGCCTACCATGTAGCCTGGAGCAGGAAGTGAACAAGCTGCAGGCAAGAATCCTTTCTGCAGATGCCTCAGCAGGTTCGAACTCCTGGATCCTGAAACGCAGTTAGACCATGGTGTGAGGAAGCAGTTGTTCACTTGCTGCAAATATAGTGCTCAGAGAACTTACCACACCAGAGCAGAACTTTGTTAGGTAAGTTCTTCATGTCCTCCAAGGACGGGCTCACACTCGACTCGACAGCAAAAATATCCTCAACCCTAACACCGTATTCCTGCACCAATAAAGTGAAATCACCTCATTCTATTCGAAGATAGGTCCCAGTCATCAATTATCCTAACTATATCTGAAAGGACAGCAGCCGACTCACGATGTCTGCAACTTTGACAGGCTCATAGGTTGTTTCAAGGTACTTCACAATCATCTTGTAGTCATCAGACTCCTTGTCGAGAGCAGAAATGGAGCAACCTAACTTCTTGTATCTATCCGAGAGCGGGTCATCCAGGGTTGCACCAGACATATCTCCGATGAGGCGCGATGCGACATTGATGTCTCTCACCGTCTCGTAGCCAGCTGCAGCCTACAGAACGTGAAAAATCAACAGTGATTAGTTTTTTCCTGATACTAATCCCACCAGAAGATTGCCAAGTTCAATGTCAGAAAGTTCAGAATGCTGACAATATCTGCCAATTGTTTGTAGTCTTTGAAGATGAAAGGCCTGGTAGAAGGCATGAGAGTGAACCACCGCTGGCTATAGTCGGACCAAACAGCCTCCTCTTTCCGACCCGACCCTTTGGCTGATTTCACAGCTTCCACAAATTCAAGTAGAGCCTCCTCACCTGCAAACAGGACTCATTTTCGTTAGACTGGAAACACGAGTCCGCCAAAAGAGCACACCAGAAGGTTGCCTATTACCTCTCTTCAGATGAATATCTGAGAGCATTCCAATTGGTAAATCAGGGGCGTCCATATCCATCTCCATTAACGCATACCTAATCCATAAAGAAGACTTCCTCCAGATCCAGAACAGGATAACTGTACAAACCCAGGGAAGGAGAAATAGAGGATTGGATACCTGTAGATCTCCTGGCTGCACAAGACCTTCATGAAATTGGCAACCTTCGGTTCAAGACTTGTATGTAGAGATGCCGACCCGAGCTGCCTCAACCCTAGTCCTCCATGTCTCACATCAACTCCATCATCCTGTCCAAAAGCAACCCATCAAGGATCTGAAACAATATACAGTTCATCAACCGGTTCCAGCCCAACCTCAAATTTGATACCATATCAATTGGGAAGAAGCTGAGTCTCTTCTTCTCGAATTTCTTCTCCCTCTCCCACGGCTCGAACTCATTTCCAGTAATCTCCTCGAACATGCTAATGAACTCGGCTATAGCACCATCCACACTGTCCCACTCCTCCAGCCTCTCTTCTGCATTCGGGTCGTCCCCAACTTTGCCTCTCTTGTAGTACATATGCAGCTTACTGTCTGGAACAGTGATCAGCTGCATAATACAGAACCTGAGAACAAAATATCAAACAGTCTGTCAAAGTTCCCTAGGTACAATTTCAAGTCCCTGAAGAAGAAAAGGAGGCAGAGTTGTTATAATTCTTACTCATTCATCTCACGGCCGAGATCGCAAAGGAAGAAAGCACAGTTGTACAAGATCCCATCTTTCTCAAGAATGGCTCCTCCTTGGTCCTGCAGCTTCGTGTCCTTGTGCACACCCCTCTTCCCGTACAGCTTCAGCTGATAAAAGAACAACATTCGAAACTCAAATCAGAATCTGCTCATCCTTCGTGGGTCATCTACGTGAGCTTGTAGAAAGGTATGCACATACCTCGGCGGTCAGGGACTCGAGAGCTTGATCGGTGGGATCCTGTTTGTCCCAAGGAATCCCTTTGCCATCCACGGCTATATCGGACATGATATCGTATGCTGCCAACGGCTGAAGCTCTTGCTTCTCAATGGAGTCCACCAACCACTCTTCCCTCACTACTCTGATTCCGTTCTCACTTCACAAACAAAAATGTAACGATTTAGTCTCCTGTGTACCGAGCTACATGTTCGCTACATTTTCTGCTGGAACGATGACTGAAGAATGAATCAAGAACTCACATTGCCTCTGAGTGCTTGGATGAGCCTCCACGCTCTCGCTCTGCGGATGTGCTAATGAGGCAATTGACTCCCAAAACCGAGTTTGAAACTTTCCCGCCATTCTGCTCGATCTGTTTCCTCCATTCTTGCTGCAAAAGAGTGCAAAATGGCGGGAAATGGTAAAAAACCTCCACTGTTCTAACGGTTATCTTTAAGAGCAAAAGAACTTTCGAGTTCGAGGAATTACATGGGTCCTGGAAAGACGGCCTGATAGAGCAATAACCATTCCTGCCAGAGGCTTCAGAGGAACCGCCACATCCCTACGAGGCCGGCCGCTTGGTTCCTGATACTTCTTCAGCATCTGAAACCAAATTTTAATCTGTTATCAATCAAATTCCTCCAGCTTGAAATCCCCAAAAGTTTAGAAAGGGTTAGTATCATCATATTACATCAGCAATGGAGGAATTGAGAGCAGAGTCGGGTAATTTGGTTGAATCCTGTCTTCTGGGAGGGTTCTTGGACTTGAAAGTACAACTAGACCACTCGCTGTAGAAACCTTTACATGCATATATTCTGCCGTTGAACTCCAAATTCCCACTGCACAACGGACACCTCTCGAGCGGCCCGAAGAACAGCAGGTCCACACTGCAAAAAGATCTCAACTTTACGTGTCAGAAAGTTGCATAAAGGAGATAACTTTTTACCAAGTAGTCTGAATTTTTTCAGTTTACCATTTGGTGATGACGACGCCTTCCGAGCCAGAAGGGTCCTGATCGTTCGATTCGAGGATTTCCCTCATCTGGGCGATCGAGAGATGTTCTCTAACGGCTTTCGAGAACTCATCAAACTCCTTACCGAAATCCCCTCCAGACGAGGATTTCCCGTTGTTCGCGCCATCGTCGGAGTGGTGATCGGTTTCGTTCTTGGGCTTCTTGGTCGGGGAATGGCCTTCCTGGGCAGCTTTCTGCTTCCTGGTCATGATCTTGGTGTCCTGTTCGGACGGCTGGTGGTGGTGGTGTGACCTTGTGTCGTGGACCTTCATGATTCAAATTAGACTTACCTTTGTTTTTCTTACTACTTTCTTCTGTAAAATTTCTCTCGGCAAACAAACACAACGAGAGGGAGGGATTGAAACGGTGGAGTGAAAGTGAGGAAGCGAGGAAGTGAAATTGTGGCGATAAATAGACAGAGGGACACGTAAGAGTGTGTGTGAGTGAGTAAGCAAAAAAAACAGAGATGAGATGAGGTGTGTCATGGATAATGCGACAAGTGGACGGGTAAGCTATGTGGGTTGACGCCACGTGTCCAACCAGTTCCAAACTTGCCTCCTCCGTCGCCAAGTGGTGACACGATCGAAACTGAAGTCTACTTATGAAAATGTCCCAATCTTCCCTCGTGTTGTTGATGGCCAAAAAATGGGAGGGAAGGAATTAGGTTTAGGATTTATTCTCTTAGTTAAGTATGGATATTCTGACATTTGGCAGCTATCTTGCAATTTTGGATCATGTTTAACTACAAAGTACAAACCCTATATATGGACTATCTTGCATGTTTGATATATACTTGGTACTGGTTTCACCCTTGTTCAAGGTTAGCAATTCGACTATGATGCTAACGCGTTTTGAGGTTGGTTCAAGGTTAGCAATCCGACTATGATGCTGACGCGTTTTGAGGTTGAGACATTTTTGTACCATTCACAATGGTTGAATTGCACATTTTATGTTTTACGTCTATCTAACGAACGATCGTGGATCCAAGCTTCAAGGCAGGATGGGTTGCTGCTGCAAAGATTAAGAGTGTGTGAGTGTGACGAAGGTGAATACAGCCAATTCCCAAGTCCCAATTCCCTGACAACAGGAAAACCCACCGTTTGTCTGATTGTCTCCGGTCCATGGATCTCCATTTTGTTTCGGTCCAAAACCGCTCATTCCTTCAATTGTTTCGGTGGTGCAGAGATCCATAGGAAACGGTCTTAACGTGGCCCAACCCAAAAGATGGCGAACGGGCCGGGAAAAGAACAGCAGACCACCGAATGGCTGATTTGGGCCACGTTAGATAGTTGCGAGAGATTGTCTTTGGAGGTTTTTCTTGTCATGGCTAGCTTGCATGGGTTTTTCTTCTCAGACTCCTCCAATCCCTTGATTGCTGAATGAACTATTATTGTATTGGGATGCATATACATGCAGTTAGCGTATGTAATATGTATAGTAGTAGACGGTATGTTTTGTTAGCGAACATTGTTTTTTTTTAATGGATGATAAGGCTTATGCCGAACATTGTTATATGATCCACGATTGAACCTCTTACAACACTCTTGGGACCAACTAGTTCTTGACATGGTATCAGAGCCTTATATGACCGAGATGTCTTGTGTTCGAATTCCGTTGACCCTATTTGTAAAACACATGCATTCTCCGTGTTCAGGACATGTGCAAATGAAAACTCTGATGAATCCAACACCCCAATTTTCAATCCTTCCCGACAAACGAGAGTGGCGGTCCCTTATCTTGAAGAAAAATCAAACGATGACCCTTATAAGTAATACAAAACAACTTTTCACAACAAAGCAATATTTTTTTTTCCCCTCTTCCAACTTTTTGTGTTTTCACTAGAGAGGTCGGTCATCAATCAAAACCCTACCTCAATCAGAAAACCCTTTTCCCCCTCAACTCCACACATATATATTCACAAGAAAGAAAATTCCACTCGAAGGGAAAATGGTCATGTTAGTATCCTGTTAAATGTGTACACACTATATTGCCGACGAATCCAAATCACAAGCTTTTCAAATTTGATCTTGTCAAGAGCACTACGGATTTTATCGCGGCTATATATAGTTTCATCGTATGATTCATAGAGAAATAACAAGCGATTATAATGCTCGTTTAATTGGTAACATTTTCACGCAAGTGATTAAGATATATGACTCGTCAAAATGAGGTTCTAAGTTCCGATACATACATCGCATAATTTTCCTTTATAATTTTTTGGTGTGAATCGAATTTTCCTTTTAAAGAGAAGGTCTGAAAGAAATTCTTTTAGTATGATTCCCACCAAAAAAACATTAGTCCTCTAACTTATTGTACCAAACGCTTACTCTATATATGTTGATATTTATTGATAGAAAGCCCTTACAAGTTATTGTCCTCTTAACTTATTGTATCTATTGCACATGCCCTTACAAGTTGGGAAATATATGCACACACAATGACAAATTAAAGCCTTCATTTTTTTGCTTAAATTTATGCGCTAATTACCCTAACCCTTTTCAACTAATCATGTTTTATGGAGAAGAATTGTCAGTTGTTGGGAATGGTGGCCTCCAAGTTAGACTACTAAGTACATAGTTAGTCAATTAACGAGCTTTATCAGTTACACAATCCATAGAGCCATTGGTTCACTTCCTTTGTTCTTCATTCGTATTAGGTGAAAATGTTTGTTATTAGCTACTAACCCCATACTGCCATACAAGTTAACCCAACTAATCGGTATATCACACGAATGAGAGCTTTGTTTCAATGTTGAAATCATAAATTTGAATCTCAGGATGACAGAAGAATGGTACTTGTTTATATACATAGAAGACGGATAATGCTATTTCGTTATTAAGAGAACATTGATACAAGATCAACAATGTCAAACATCCCAATAACATTTTGATCAGGGAGCTAGGGATTGCGAGTTTAGCAATGAAGCAGACAAATTTTCCCCATCTTGGGAACAATATGATAACCTTACACAAACATTATCCTTAGTATACCCTAAGGAAGAAAATTCATCTGCTTCACTACTTCAACTCAATGCAACATAGCCTAAAAAACACAAACACACAAAACCAGAAATCAAATCATCACTCTTATCACATCCAAATCAACAAAACTAAAGATACCCTTATTTCTTTCCTTTCATCAGAGGCCAACTCGTCCTCCGGCGAGTGCTCCGGAGCAAACCAATCTCACTTACATCTCAGAGAATGTTTGCTACTAAGCACAAGCTTTCCAGATCAGACACTCTGACCACATACACGTCAGATAAAAGAAATTCTCGGCTCAAAAATTCGAGTCCAGAATTCGCTTTTATCTTACATTACAAGGTAGGATAAAATAAAACTCTTCAGATTCTCGAACGTGCACTACACAAACTAAAATGTCTCAGAGAGCAGATGATTGACGATCATAATAAACCAGTTACTTCTCTCTCTCATGATCGCCGATCAGCTAGCTAGCTAGCTGCAAAGCTAAGCAAACTCCTCCTCCTCGTCATCATCATCAGTTCCAGCACTCGTGACGCACTCCCTGCTGCAGTCGTCCTCCGCGAACCCTTCGAGCGCGCGGGGCGAATGACCGCCCCCGAACGACCTGATGTGGTCCTTGAGCGACCTCTTGTGCTTGAAATCGGACCCGCAGCTACAGTACCATAACTTCCCGCAGTTCTTCTCGTGTGTCCTCCAGTCTCCCTTGACGGCAAAGGTCTTGCCGCACTTCCTGCAGCCGAAGGCCTTGGCGCCGTGCTTTCTCTTGTAGTGTGTCTGTAGGGTTCTGAAGTCCTTCAATGGCTTGGCTCGTGGGTGGTTGATGTTGTTCTTGCAGCCATGGGCGCAGCAGTAGCACGGCATCCTCAGCATTGCGGCCGGTTGGGTTCCTTTGAGCGAGTCGGGTCCCTTCCTGAACTCGGACCCATGGCCCCACATGTGCATCTGAAAATAGTCAACGGATCACAGGGCTTTTTAGAAAGATGGATTTTGTTGAGATTTGATTTGAAGGGGGGTTTTGATTAAGTGCTAAGATTTGGTGTTTTTGTTTGACTACATTTACATGCTTACAAATTTTTGTCCTAGAAAAGAAAAGAAAAGAGAAGGGCAGGGAGAGGGAGAGGGAGAGGGAGAGGGAGAGGGAGAGGAGAGTCCTCCTTTTTGGTAATCTAAGTGCATGGATTTTCCTCCAATCTTCTTGTTTTATGGGCGCGGGTATCGGTATGTTTTGGATTTAAAGTCGGGCACCACAATCACTGATAAAATCAAAGTGGATTTCGTTCCTCGCGCAAGAAACAAAAGTGCAAACTGGGTGGCTCGTGAAGCTTGTAAAGGAACTCTCCCAAATGAATGGATCCATGTTCTGGATTTGATTTCCCCTTTATTGTGATAGGCTTTGCTTGTATCACAATCTTTTCTGAATAAAATCCCTCTCTTCGTAAAAAAAAAAATCACTCGATTAAGCCAACATCAATTGTCAAGAATCAATTTGGGCTGTTTCGATAACTTTGAGTTGTTCAGAGAAGTTTCGGAATATATCTTACACTATATACTCTCCATACATGCCCTCTCAAACGAAATCCAACTCGTGGGTTTGAAATTTGCATAAACCTATAATATCTTGATTTTAAAACAACTGTTTCATATTGTTAAATGTAGGGATTATTCATAAACAAGACCTTTTGATTATCGTGAACTTTGATATCATGTCAAAAATAATTTGGTTTTAAAAATACAATGTTGTATAAGATTTATACTGAAATGTCTCTCAATAATTCGACTTATTAAAATCAATTAGTTCTTGACATTATCGAGTGATCACCAAGCTTGGATATTCTTCATTTTTGTCATTAATTAACCCCTAAAGAGGGAGTAGGTTTACTTTATTTATATTATCATACCTCTTTAGTTCTTTGAAAAATCTCACTTATGAATTTAAGTAGTAGGAGCTTTATGGAGTCATGATTAAAGAATTGAGTATCCAAGGTGTTGTGTTTGCTCAATATCCATTCTTTTGACATTGGCTACATCCTTTTGGAATATTATATGTATGAGACACTAATCATTCTCAAAACAATTCTGCCCTTTTTATAATGTGTGCAAGTGTGTGACACAGTTTTTCTTTTTTTACTTACCCCAACTAATTAATCCCCACCTCTACTAGCTTCCCACTAAGTTATAGGAGTAATCATGAGAGTTGAAAGCATTTGATGATCATTAGTGCTAAGATGAATAAGACGACCATGGAAAAATGATCTCAAAGGTGGGCTACATATCTATGGTAGGGGTAATCCCACGTTGAGCAAATTTGTGAGACTTTGAAAGGGTGATTTGGATTTGGGGAGTTTCAAAAGTGATAATGGTCTCATGTATTCTCTTATTCTATGCTTATCAAATTAAATCAAGGTGCTATAAGCAAATGAATCAAAAATTCACTTCCTCTAAAAACGATTCATCAATGTTTGGAAAGCATTCAAAACTTTAAAAATAAATCGAATTGAGTTCTGAAACCATGCACGAAGATAGTATACGATTAAATTTCTTTTGATATTATACTTTGTCTTCTACGCATTGAGTTTTTTTTTTATGAGAGAATGAGAGTTCAAAGAAGGTGAAAGAAATAAGAAAAATAGGATTCGTACATGATTATTATGCTAATATATATAGTATAACTTTGAGGTGTTTTTGTTGTGTAATTTTAGTTAGCTAATAACCGATGAATTCATTCGGGAGTTTTGTTAGTTTGTTTGGAATTATAATGATTAATTCTAGTTCTTTGGTACTCAAAATTTAGAACTCAAAACAAAAAATTTATATGGCCAACAAACATAAATTTATTGCAAAATGGATTTCTTAATTCTTTTGGTATAGTTCAATTTGTTTTAAATCGAACCTTAATGAATAAGATAGAAGCAACAAAAAACTAATTGATGACAATATAAACGGTAGGGATTGGATGATTCGAAGTGTATATCATACCAAATTGCATGTGTGGTAGTGCTGAATCATTGGAATATATAAAATTTCATTTATGGAAAAGAAGTGTTGGTTTCTTTTCATGCATTAGTGTGTGTCTTTATCTGATTATGTTTGATAATCATTTCAAAAAAGTTGACACATTACTGTTCTTTTCCTATCTTGCTGGTTTTTGGCTCATTGAACTTATTACTAATTTCATGTCCCTACAAAAAAAGACAAGAGCACAGTACCACCCTTACTTGAACCCATTTTGAACCATTAGAAATGTTTTCTCTTTTGCTCAAAAGAACAATGTGACTGATCAAAATTTTCCTAAGGACACACCATATCCATAAGCTAATAAGGACACTTTCCCACAGAGAAGATTGAGTAAATGAAAAAAAAAAAAAAAAAAAACCAAACAAACAAACAAATCATAAAGGTGGAAAGGAGGAGTAGTGCTCAAGGACCCTATATTAGCTCCCATCACCCAAGAAAAAAAGGAAACCACACAAAAACCAAACACATGTATCCATCATACAAGTAGTTGCAGATTGTGCATTATGTACAATATGCTTCTTAGTGAAGGGAACATAGAGAAAGAAATTGACTAGTCATGCACTAACCATCGAAAACCCATTATTGTAAAATGCCGAATTCCTAAAATCACGTATTCGAATCTGTCACCCATTACTAATAACTTGGATGAATTGATAAGAACGTTGCAAAACACCCCCTCTGCGATCAAAATTTAATCCGATCCGAATTCTATTTCGATTCATGGATGAAAAACCGCCACACTTCAGACGAGCTAGCTAGCTAGCTAGCTAGAGAGAGAGAGAGAGAGAGAGAGACTGACCTGCATATTGTTGTACCTATTGAAGGTCTTGCTACAAATGGAGCAAGCAAACTGCATAGGGCCAACAAGTATCTGTGCTGGAGTTGGGATCCAGAACCTGCTCTCCTTGTTGAATGAAGAACCTCTAGTAGCAACAACAGCACCACCACCACCACAGCCAAGGGAGCTCCAGTAGTTCTTGATTATCTTGGTTTCCTTCAACTCAAACACCTTGCTGGTCATCATGTTCTCATCAGTTTCATCATCCCTAGAAACAACACTAGGCAAACCAATGTGGAGAGCAACCTTGACCTTCTTCTCAGCCTCTTGCTTAACTTCAACAACAGTAGTGTTACTATGAGTAGTAGTACTAGTACAACTACTACTTATCATGTAGTTGCTACTAATTCCCTCGTGAACTAACTCCATGGCTTCTCCTTCTTCTTCCTCCTCCAGCTTCAAGTTGGAATAATCTTGGTGGTTGCTCATGAGCTTGCTAAGGAGAGGCAAGCATTTGGTGGATGGTTCTTCTTCTTCTTGTTCCTCCTCCTCCTCCTCCACTTGTGGGTAGAAGACATGATGATGAGTTGGGACAGGAAGTGTAAGATGAACTTGTTGTTGAGTAGAAGGTGAAGATGATGAAGGTGGTTTGAGCCATTCAATGAAAGTTGGAGGATAGAGATTAGTGCTTAGCCCCATATCCCTAATGTGTCTTTTTGTTCTTTCTGTTTGTGGGATTGGTGAGTTTGAATGGGAGGAGGAGGAGGAGTTTGGTGGCAAGGGGGATGGATGGATTCCCTCTTCCTGGTGAAGAGATGGGAGGATTGGGGGGTTTTCTAGTGTTTATATTGAGAGTTCTGTGTGTAAATAATAATGGTTGGATTTTGGGGGAAAAGATGGGAAAGGGGTTTTTGGTTGGCTTTGTATGTTGAGAAAGTCTTCGTTTCCATGGGTTTTTGGCATTTGGTTTTCATATTTTTCCTTTCATTTTCAACCTTTGGGTATTTGTTCAGTTGGAGAGGGAGAGAGAGGGAGAGGGGGGATGGAATTAGTGCATGTGGTGGGGTAAAAGAAAATGACTTCGCATAAAATGAACAGAATCCAATAATAGTAGAATTACTATTCGTAAATTTTACTTTAGCCTGGTTCGATTAAGAGGATTTGGTTCTTCTTTACATGACTTGATCTATAAACAACGAAATATGAAAGGTCACTCTGTTCCGGATAGCTTTTGTGCAATCACATATTTCTCATTTGTAGTGGTCCTTCGTGTTCTTTTTACACGCTGAAATGAATTTTTTCCGTCATAACTGATGATTTTGTGGTTGTAGAAAACTCACAAGCATGCATAGAGAAGTTGTAGAAAGGCGCTAGAATCGGCACCGGAATAATTACTCGCATATGTGAGGGCAATATAAATTGATATTGAATAACACACATGATTCTCTCGTTCATGGAAGAGTCATATATGACGTTTTTAGTGAATTCATCTATAAAGACCGCCTAATTCGACGTTTTTCCTACTTAATCTTTTTTTTATTTATACAAATAGCACTCGAGTAAAGGAGAGCATAAGCAAGTTCAGTGTGGTTGAAACCTCTGTAATCGATCGATGAGAACCTCGAATGTTGTAATCGACGTTCTCATCGATCGAGTTAAAAAAAGGATATCGAAGAATTTCATGATATTTGGATTTATTGGAGTAGCCTTGCTCATGAGATGGTTGGTTTTTATTTTACTACATGCGTGCATCAATAGTGTCGGAACCAAAGGCCGAAATTGTGGAACTTGGAAGAGATTTTGACTCTGTTATTAAAGGTTGTTTTTTTTTTCCTTGTGCCATATATTTCAAGTCAAGCATATAGAGTTGATTCAACCTGGCCATCATTAGCTAATGAATTTGACGAGTTTTTCTCTTCGTCACTTTTATGCTGCCGTTTCCTTTGTGTATTGGAAAATTAGCATGTCGTATTTGTTGCTCTTGTCGACACTAGAGTTGATGCCCGCATTTGACGGGAGAAATCATCAGTTTTCTGCCCTTCTGGGGTTAGGGGGCAGAGACTTATTAATTCCTCTTTGCCAAAATGTACTAGCATTGTAGTAGTTTAGGGTAGTGTTTGCAAAAATCCTACGATATCGATGCGGAAAATAACTTATCGGGGTCTAACTCGGTAGACAATTTTGGTGGTGTGAAACAGTTGAGTCATTGTTAAACCATGAGTTCAGTACATAATACCCTAACACCTACTTTTTTCGGTACAACCTCTCGTACGATTTTAAAATATTTGGTTTCGATGCATCTCATATATATTATGTTCTTCTCGACTACTGCTTGGATCGATTTTATAACAAGGATAAGGTCGAGAAACTTTTTCACACTCCGTCTTTATCTTTTTCTCAAACATATTAGAAAAATAAAAAGCCATCCTCCGAAATTTTAAACGAGCTTATGAAATTCGATAGTAGCGACATAAGTTTCTGTCAGGATAACTAAAATTGTTAGGAAGAACATATTAGAAAAATCACAAGATATGCTCTCTTTTTTGTTTTGTGAAAAAAATCACAAAAATGAGTAATACTTCATACCATGTCCATTAATTAAAAGAGAAATTTAAAATGTTAGGGACTTTGGGGTAAATATAATTATTTAAACATACAAGATGAATGAAGGAATTATTGAGTCAACGGGTCAAGTCAAATCTTGTATTTTAGAGGCTTAATTGAATATTATTTGTTTGTGTGCAATATTCCCCCGGGTAAATGGGTTATAGAGTGATTCATGGAGGCGTAATGCTGACATAAGCAAACATTCTGCATGATTGTGAGAGATCAAGAAGTTCCTTGGTTGGTTCATTGGGTGCTTTCTTTTTTGTTCCTTTGATCCTTGGATTGATAACGATATTACTCAATTAATTATTCCCTAAACCCAAACGTGTCAGCTTATTATAAGAACTTTGTTCTTTTGGGACCTCCCAAATTGGTCATTCTTGTACTATGATAGATCTGCTGCCCGGTCCGGGTTTATAGTCAGGTTTGAGTTTTCGTGGTTCGATCATCTGAACATAAGAAATATGACGATCGAATCTCGCTGAAAGAGATTGTTGAATTGAAGAACAAAGATGTTATTAATGTGTGAGCTCGTCTGTAGTTGATAAGAGAAAGACTATCAAGTTGTAGGTCCTCCTTCTATTGATATCGAAGCTCTCAGGCTAGTTGAACACCTTCAATGGTGCCAATTATATATAATATAGGTATCAATTTGTAAATAGCCTGCAAATTTGTAGGTAAGTTTGGACTAGTAAACCATATACGTAACGTTGTATAGCTAAGTAGAAACTCGGGCAACAAATTACCTAAAATTTGGGAGAGAGCCTTTCTAGACTAGTTAGTGCCATCCTTACTATATATATATATATATTAGCATGGCCCCGACCATTTGACCGGAGGAAGGTGAGGTATGAAATTTGATAATGTAATGAGGTGTATAGTTTATTGTTGTATAGTTTTTTTTTTGGGAAACACGTGATAAAAATAGTGAATTTTAGTAGGAAAGAGACATGAATAATGCAACGAATCAAAAATCAGCCTTATGAACCAAAATCAAGTACCTGTTACCTTGTGAAACAATATTGTTTCTGGTAATATGATGAGGTGGAGTAAGTTTTATGGAAACCGAATTCCAGACGAATAAAAAATCGCCTCTCCCGTTGGTTTTCGGGAAATGAGCATCTCACAATCGTTGCTAGCTTTTACTCGGCCTGTTGGCCGATTAATTTGCTTTATAAAACTTTCATCTTGTCATCATTGTGCTTTCTGGTTTTTTGCCAAGCCATGATAAAATCTAAAGAAATCAAGAATGAACAACACGATTTGGGATAGGAACCACCGTTCCTGTATCCCTAGAAAATGGTGGTAAACACAGACTCACCTGGCAAACTGGTTTGGATTGAGATTTTTATCGGGTATCAAGGAACCATGTGATTATAAATTAGACTTGATCAAAACGGGCCAAAATTGAAATTCATTCTGTTTGACCGACCCATGCCAAACTCTAATTATTCTTTACTTTTAAACTTTCTATTTGAAAATAAAAATTAATGAAAGAAAAGAGATGCAATTCGCCATTTGCACATCACTGATTCGGGAATAAAACTATAGAATTTCGAAAGGAAACTTAAAATGTTTAGGATCGTTTTAATGTTAAAAATAACCAAATAGATCTTTTTGTGTAGTTTTTTACTAACAAATACCAAACGATTCCCTATAATATATACTATAATTTAATCATTATGATATCAAATAATTACATAATATATATTTGAAATGATAAAAATTGGACTAATTGGGTTGGTCGAGGTTGAATCATTGAATAACTTTAAAATATATTATATTTTAGCCACTAAGATATAAAATAATAGCATAATATATATTATGCTAGAGAAAATAGCTTGTTTTAGAATGAAAAACCCATGATGTTCATTTGTTTTACTTTATGGGCAAATCCCGTGTAGGTCAGGCCCATTCAACTCTTTTATTTTATGATTAGAGGTTAGCCTATTAGAATCCATGCATTAGTTTATTGTTAAATTTTTTTTCTTTTTAGCAATAAAAAGGAGAATTTTTTTTGCCTTTTCATATATATTTTACCACCACGGAGAAATAAAAGGACTTAAAGAAAAAATTGACACTCATGGACCCGTTTAAATCCGCATGTGTACGGTAAGTTGGCTCGTTCCACAGAGGAAAAAGAAAAAAATTGACACTCCCTATTAGGGGTGGCTATTTGGACCGGGACCGGATAGTAAACAATCCAATCCAATCTTTGGGCTTAGATTTGAGGTAAAAAAACCGGATAAAGACCGGATAAGAGAGCTCAACACCCAAAACTTAAGGGTAATTTGCATAAACGGTCACAAACCTTTGCACTTAGTACAAAACTTAACCAACTCCTCACCCTTTAAGGCCTTAGGCCACTCAAATCCCACAATCTCAATGTAAAATCAAGACCGAATTGGGACCGGACCGGATCAAAACCGGACCGGATCAAGACCGGACTGTATCCAATCCAATCTTCGGTCCTTATATTTTCAAAAAACCCGGACTGGACCGGATCAATTTGGGCCAATTTAACCGGACCAGACCGTATAGCCACCCCTACTCCCTATTCTACCCTTCCTACAAACGCTTATGGAGCAAGGAATTTGAAATGGGGGAAGAGTTTTTTCCTCTATGCGATTATATGTTTTTAATTTAAAAAGATACAACAAATGTACTTAGTGTGATTGGTTATGATCTTTGTTTTTCTTTAAAGTTGGCATGGTTTCGAATCCTAGTAAGTGTCTTTTTAATGAATAAAAAAAAGTAATTGTGAAGACCAAAATGTCCTTCCTACTTTCACTCTGGATGTAAGAAATTTGAAATGAGGCTTCAAGTTTTCTCATTTGGCTTTTATTTATTGTATAGATGGTGTATTCTACGGTACCCCGGGTGAAATCCAGGGTACCGCATAGCTTAAGTATGAAAACACAATCTAGGCCTCGAATTCGCAAGATTTTTGGGCATAATACTATACCCTACCCCTTAATGAGTGAACCCTAGGTCCTAATTATCTAAATTATAAACTATAAACCCTAAGATGGTGCATTGATTTTTTGCCTATATTTGGACGAATTATAACCGTCGATTATTATTTCTAATTAAATTGATCTTTGTGTATAAGATTTAGAGAATTAAAACCTAGATAATGACATTCTTGCCCGCGGTTGTGACTGAGCCATCGCCTAATTTCAAATATCACCGTGTCTTTTCCTTTTTTTTAGTTGAGCCATCACACATGTTAATTTTGGTGGCACGGTCAAGCAAGTAGAAATTATTGAACAGTTCAATATAAATACGAAAATCTCTCACAATCTCCATCTCATGACCTAGCTACTAGAGCTACAACTACAAGGGTGCTTTCCACAGTTGACTTTGACTTGAAGGTCTTTCAGTACACAAATGGCAGTTATGGCGTCGGGATGGTCCAACCGCTTTGCTTCTCTAGTGGACATGTAACCAACCAATTCACTCAACACCTGGTTTAGTCCAATATCACGTTTCAACCTCGAGAATTTTTGCACTTAATCATCATTAAAGCTACTTCTTGACCTGGTTAACCCTTTGGAAGGGTTCAATTAGGGGGGTTGGTCAAAACCTAATGATTATTGTGGTTACATATTTTCTTCCCTAACTTCTGAAATTTTGGCAGTTGGGTGGATCATCAACTTGACTGCTGCCTGTCATTACCTATATATATAATAATAGCAAAACCATACAAACTTACAGACTCCTGATTTTATAATACTAACTAACAAAAGGAATAATTGCTAATCGCCTAGAAGAGTGTCATTAGTCTCCTAATTACGACACCGTGTAAAATAGAAACATGAGGAGCGAACTAGTCAAATACATCGAAGTGGAGTATTGAATCAGCATGACCCAAATAAATGTTGGTATCTCCTAATTTTACCTAATTAACTTGAAATAATGGGCTCGTGGAACACTGGACCTGGAGTGCCTTAGTCGAAGAGGCAGCGACAATGTTGGGCTCACTTACGGCCCATAAAAAACTAGCTGGTTCGGCCCACAAACATTTGGTGGATAATATGATCCTCCTGCATAAATTGAGGTGATAGAAGATCAGCATGACACGTGGATGGCCGCTTTTCCACCTGAATCTTTGGCGCTTTGCGGAATCCCCATTATTTCAACAGAACGGCTCGCCGTTGAATATTCCCGTTAACTGGATTTTCCGGAAAATGGACGGTTGAGGAGTTCCTCTCGCTCTCGCTTGCGGCTAGCTCCCTTTCCCTTCCGTCGCTCCACAGTGTTTTCGAGCTCGATGGCGGCAATCACCACCTTCGCGGCCGTCCGTGCCACGTCGATATGGATGACGTCGTCGCCGCGGCGGGAGAGGTCGCCGCAATTCCCCGCATTCTCTCCTGCGCCGCGGAAGTCGCTGTTCTCTGGACTTCTTCTCGTTCCGGCGCCGGTTTCGAGGACGGTGACTACTCTCGCCGTCGAACGATCTGATGCGGTTCGTATTTCTGCTTCTCTGCTCGTCCATTTTCCATTTAATTTAATCCAATGGTTCTCTATCTTGTAGGGGAATTACGATGGAAGCCGTACTGAGCAGCAGGCTTCCATTTTTGAACGGATTTTGAGTTTTTCAGAACGGCTTCTCAATTTTGCGGCATCGAATTTTCTTCCTCTAGGTAAAAATTTTCGTCCGAGTATCTTGTTTCGGCTCAAATTGTTACAAGTCCTGGCTGCTTGCTAGTTTGCTTGTGTTTCAAATTCGTATGCTGCATTGCTATTTTGATGTCATTGACCTTCAAGAACAATCTTGCTGTAGCTCTGATCACTGCGGTAGCATGTGGAATGGTGAATCCAGCTCCTGGTTGCTATGCTCACAAGTATTCTTTGTCTAAGTTTGCTACCTTCGGCATTTTCTTCATTGCAGGTAGTGTGTTTGAATACTGAATTTAAAAAGGCCACTTCCTATGTTTATGCTGCTGCTCTAGCCCGGTTTTCAGTCTAAGTTGTCCTCTATTTTGATAGGGATGAAGTTGAAAGGCGAAGAAATTTCAGCAGTGGCTGAAGCATGGCCAGTTGGATTATTCGGGCTAGTATGACCTCTTTTGCTTTATTATGTGCCCTTTATCTTCTTGGAGGAAATGGTATATTGATTAGCTATCTTCCGACGAACTGTAGATGTGATTAAGCAGTTTATGGTCTCTTGTTGTTCCGACGAACTGTAGATGTGATTAAGCAGTTTATGGTCTCTTGTTGTTCATCATGGCATGTGTTATGGTATTAATCGCTCTATTTCAGACTTCTATACTGCTGCTCGGTCCTCTCGTGTCGACGCTAATTTTACAAGTGCAGCTTGCACCCCAAGAGTTTGCGACAGGCATGGCTGTCAGTTGAACTTAATTATGCTCTGATAGTTCAAAATTGCTTGGGTTTGGCATTTATTCTGGAATATTTTGGAACAGGACTGGCATTGTTTAGCTGTATGCCAACTACATTGTCAAGCGGCGTAGCACTAACACAGGTACATGTCCTCTTCCTCTTCTTCTCCACACATCTGTATGTTTCTGTACGTTCCAGGCTAGCAATGACATGTGCACCACTAATGATGGTTTTGATTGCAGCTTGTTGGTGGGAATTCTGCTCTTGCTCTTACAATGACAGTAATTTCAAACCTACTGGGCATCATTACTGTAAGCTCCTACTTATATTAAAAAAATCACTCCCGTAACCTCTTTCCCCCCCTTTCCAGTTGGAACTTTCATGGTTATATGGAGTAATGAGCTTGGGAATACACTGAACTCGATTTCTGGACTTCACTATTTGTTCTTCAAGTCCATTAACAAGAATAAACCTTATGTCGTTAGCCAGCATAAGTTGAGAGTTCGCTTTCTTTGCTGAAGCACGTTCATTTTTGGATTAGACTAAGGCATGCCTTATGGCTGAACTCTTCTTCATTTCATTCTTTTGCTTTGTACTTGTATATATCTCAAAGGATTTCATGCATTCTTGTGACATTTTAGGTGCCATTTTGGATCTCGAAGCTTCTAGCTTCTGGTTTTGGTGTATCAATACCAGTGAGGCAGCTCTTTTGGAATCTTACTCTAATGCTTCTGGTTCCTTTACTCTTTGGGAAGGTCCTTCCATTTCCTTATTTTTTCGGCCACTATAGGCCTTATTGTTGCAAGGCAGCAATACTGCTGACTTAAAAGGATAAATATGTATGTCTTTGTTATATCTTCTGGCCAAATGTCAAGAATGCATGCTCCTTTCATCATTGTTACTCTCATCCTTGTTTCTTTCTCAGGTTGTGGGAATTTCACATGATTTTTGGTTCACAGGTGGCCCGAAATAGCATCAAAGGTAATGGCTGTTATATTTCCTGTCTACTTGTGGCCACGGATAAGCTAATTTTCAAATCTCAACTGCACTAGTACTGTGCAAACTCAAGTTTTCAATTTCCTCGCTAAACCCAAAGAGTATAAGGAACTAGACATCCACATGAGGACTTGATCTAGTCTCTCAAGCTTTATATTCCTAGATGCTGTTTATTGGAAGTAGTGGAGAACCTATAGATACAATACCAAACTGTTGGGACCATAAATTATCTTATAGGTTTGGGAACTTACTATTTATCTTATAGGTTTGGGAACTTACGTCGATCAAAACCGGAAGATTTTCACTACAACCAGTATTATTCTCCTAAGCCTAGTAAGTATTTTACATATTTCTTATTCCCTTATCGAATTAGTGCTTCACATTCCAATTATTTATTTTGGCAGTGATGATCCACTGCCATTGACATTGCTCTTGTCCATCTCATGCTGCATTTCTGAATGTTTCTTTTCAATGTTGTTTTAGACCCCGTGGATGCAAGTAAGTAAAGCAAGACATTTGCTCCTAGCGGTTAAAGTGCAAGTATTCTTTAAAGCAATTGCAATGGGCATGTGAGTTCCTTATCTAATTTTCATGTTTTATACATCTTACTAGCTTACTCATCTAGTTTGCATCAAAAGTGAATATATCTAGAGATTTTCAAGTAGTAGATGATCTAGGGAATTCTGGATAATCAGTTACACTGCAAGTTTCTGGGAAATAAGATGGAAAGAGCTTTTCGGAATGCAGTAACTTGAATTGTTGACTGCTGCTATATAAGAGCCTTTATTTCCCATTTACGGCTGTATGGATCCCTCCGTTTAAAAGGAGAGCAAGGATGAGGTTGTGAAATGTTTATTTTCTTGGTCAGACTTCTGCATCTTGCATTGCTGGGGCTCAACCTCATTCCATATTTCCCATTTACGGCTGTATGGATCCCTCCGTTTAAAAGGAGAGCAAGGATGAGGTTGTGAAATGTTTATTTTCTTGGTCAGACTTCTGCATCTTGCATTGCTGGGGCTCAACCTCATTGCAATAAGAGCCTTATCAGCTGGATTAGGTGGTACGGAGTCAGTCTTCGCCGAAAAGAAGAACTCACGTACTCTTTTGTTGGTTTGCAGTCAGGTGAATTTGCACTTTACTATTATGTTTATATATTTATCCTACTGAATCAATATATAACACTGGTCTTTCATGCAAATACATTCGAATTCTTGTAAGGGCAACTGCTTGAACATCTTGAGCTAATGATACTTATACCAATTAAGTCCAAAGGATAGTCAAAGTGGACAATGATTGGACACAGAAAGTCAGGGAGCTTAAGCCCACAAAGGGCTCTGCCCCATGTTGTTTTTTCTGTGGACACCCCAGAGTTCCAACCATAATTTGTGGAGTCCTTTCTCAGAGTTTTTTTGGTACTAGTTTGAAGTTCACATTAGAAAAAAGCTAGTATCGATGTTTGAATTGAGATGTAGTCTGAAAAACAATGTCAGGTGAGAGAACCAAGCCCATGCCTCAGAAGGCTTCTTTGAGAGTTCAAGGAAAGAGGGTGAAAGATAATGACTTCCTGTAGACAAAACGATCCACATGGACAATGGATTTGCATGTACAAGAACAGAGTACTTCTGATTGTGTCTTACCTGAAAATGATAGTCCAGTTTCTAGGATCGATTTCTCCTTAAACATCATGTTTGTTTCTAATTGTCAAGTCTTATTGTCAACGAGAATCTACTGGTCTCTGCAGAAAGCTCTGCTGATTGTGGTAACTGTAGTAGAGCAGCTGAACGGTGCCCTTGGTCAATCAGGGCTGCTGGTTCTTCCTTGTATAGCAGCACACATCAATCAGGTTTTCCCCCTAATTTGCAATTTTATTCTCGTTCTTTCTTTAATCTAGTTTTCTACCTCTTTTTGCTTTATCTTTTTTTTTTTTTTTTGGTCTTCCCTTTTCTTAGGTTGTCATTGACTCAATTCTGGTGAACTTTTGGATTCGGAAGGATCAGTCACCAGACAGAACCAAGGAAGTCTGAACAATAGCAGAGTACATCGTAGCTTTGCCACTTCGTAATCTCGTTCGGTCTAGAAATGGTGCTCGTGTTATCGAAGTAAACACGTTCTAGGATAGTAAAACTCTGTTATACCATTGATTCTGGTGTTCTAGTGTTGATTTTTTCCTGCTGTTTAGTGATCGATGGGGACTGGGAGAGTGCCTCTCAACGGAACGAGAGTGTCGTGTAGGCGTTTGGGGAACTCGAACCCGCCTTCTATGAGTGTCTCTGGTCTGTTGTCTCAGATACCTCCTCAGACTACCCCCCTCACTCTCTTCCGTAATTGGAAAAAGCTACAAGGTATATTCTGACCTCTTAGCCAGAAGTTCTATGTTGCGTCTAGACGCAGAATCAAGAACTTGTCTGAAAGAGAGACGTTCTCCAATTATTAAGAGCCGACAATGATAAAATACATGGTTGATACTCGGAAGCGATAGTGGAGGCTTTTGGCAATCATTGGAGTAGTGGCTTTCTTTGGACAGCAAGATGTAGTTTAGAATCAGATACACTGAAATCCGTCCTAGCACCGGGATTTTGCAAAAGGAAAAGTATGCTTAGATGAACTGATGATCTGCATCATTGGTGAAATTCCACTAGAGGTGATCGATCGCTTTCACGGGGATTGAAACCGTCGGAAAAGACGGGTGATCGCTTTCTCGAAGATGTAGTGAATTCCACTGCAACAAGAAGAGCCTTGCCTCCGACCCAATTGTCGATCATCTGAAAACAGGATGCAACCTCGCGCCATGATGAACCGATGAAGGATCCATCACATAGCGGAAGAAAGAATCAGTGCTTAATGATTGGTCTGAAGGAATATGCCAGGGATCAGGATAGTACAGTACGTACTACGCCATTCAACAAGAGCATACTGTGCACCTGTCGAAAATAAGAGAACCATTAGTCTCGACAGAATTGAACGTCATATTCATGTTCCGTTCTCTTTGTTACACAGGCTAGTCGATTCGTGGCAGAATCGACTGCAAATTTCAACTTTCCTAATGCATCTCAGCATCTCTTCCTTTTTTTTTCTCCCTCGAGTTGGAAACGGGTAAGCACGAAATATGAAAATGGGGAGATGTGGCGATGAAGTCCTTTTTAAGGAATCTGAGCATCCTTTTGATTGCACTTTCTAGTGCTTTCAATGTAGTTATTGGCCATCTTCCACCTCTGAGAGTGCAATCCGTCGGGCTGCTGAATCATTCTGCAGAATGTCAAAAGCATTAGCTAGTGGAGATGCGACGAGTTTAGGGTTTCCATCAATGTCGTAATTTTGCTTGTTTAGGTGCACAGATGCACGTTTTAGACATCTCAATCCATTATTCGCGCGAGATAGGACAAGAAAATGCGCTCTTTGCAAGTGGAACTGAAATGACATTTCCCTAACATAATAAAGTAAGTAGCCATTAATTAACGTTTAAGGTTTCTTTTCGTACATTGCTTTTGATCACCACTTTTTGCCGACGATGATTGCATGCACGGGAAGAAAAAAGAGGACCATTTTATATGGGGATGAGCACATTATTAGCGACGGGACGTCTCTAAATTGGGTGCGCATATTAAGGAAAGCTATTCAAGCCATTGGATTTTCTCTTGAGTCAAAACAAAACACTAATGGAACTTTCTCCATCGGGTTTAGGTATCCATGATTATTTATGAATAATAATTTTTCTTCGTAACATCAATCAAATGTGGATAATTATAAGTATATTTGCATTACATATATAAGTGAAAAGTACAACAATAAATCACTAAAACGAAGAAAAAAATTTTAGTTAAATAACCAGAATTCATAACAATATTACATGTATAATAAATATCAAATATGTTGACAAAAACAATGATCATTTCTAAAAGGACAAGTATGTACATAATCAGACGGGTTCGGATTGGATAGGAAAAATACCGTGTTCATTTATTGATTGTAATATTCAAATTCGAATTTTACTTATATTAACTATTCACGGTTCGAGCTTTATCCTAGCCAACTAGATGAGATCCGGACGGATAATTTAACCCTTTGATCCTCACAAGTCACAAGTGAGCAACTTGTCGAAAGGAGAACATAGCAATATGTCCTTGGGGGGGCCTCTCTCCCTGGATTTTAAGATTCTTTCATTTCAAAAGTCTCTCTCTCCCATTCCTTCACTCTCTCTCAACCCAAGGAAAGTCATGTTTTAGGGTCCGACTTTGCATAGGCCAGCCGGCCAGAGATTAGAGTGTAGCCCTGGCAAAGGCAATGGAGGTACCTACTAAATGTTAGGGACTTTTGGGACGAGAGTATGCGTACGATAGTCCAAAATTAGGTGATTAGAATTGTGATAGAGTCTTGAACTATGTTAGCTATTTTTTGAAAAAGAATATTTTCACTCTCCATAAAAGTATTGGGTTACAAGAAATTTCTTCCGAGGATACAACTATCACCACTTTAGGTTCTAGGCTCAAGAACACTAAAGCATACTCAGAATTTTTTGGAAGAAAGTAGAAGAATATATCTGATGGTCTGTGGCATCATCCACCTCATACGGCCACACTTATATTTATAGGGGTCGAATCCATGCATTGTTTCATGAAAGGCTGCATTTATCCATACGAAAGGTTGTCCTTATCTACACAATGAGTTGTGCTGTAGTGACAAAGTACTCTAATACTACCTATAGGTGTTGTGTTCCCTCACCAATATAAATACCGAAATTTACCCCTGTCCTGGGACAAGGCCCAAAGGACCTGCCTCCGCCACTGAGTCCGGTCCAACCAAATATTCAGCACTGAATAGTTCAATATTGATTGAGCGATTGCGGAATGTCAATCAGTATTATGTTTGTCAAACGAACCATAGCCCATTAAATAATATGTTCTGCATCTAAAAATATTAATGCATGAAGCTTTTATTCTAAACATTCTACCAGTCCTTAATATATCGTATTGTTAGATTATGAGCTTAATTGCAAGTTTGGTCACTCGAATTGCTAAAAATTTTCACGTTTGCCATTCAAATTGAATTATTTCATTTACAGTCACTCGAATTAGTTGAACAGTCCAAGTTCGGTCACTCTCCGTTAACATCCGTTAGACTCCGTTAATGACGTCCGTTAAGTGATGACGTGGCTAACAGAAAGACACAGTCAGCATATTTTAACATTAAAAAATGACGACCCGACCCGCCAGCTCAGCCTTACCCGCCCTGTCAGCCATTCTTGTCCAACCCGCGAATCAACCCAATTAATTGACGACCGTTAAGTGATAACGTGGCTAACAGAAAGACAGAGTCTGACCAACCATTAATGCATGATGAACTCCAGACTTTAGAAGAAAAAAGCTTTCAACCAAAGAAAGACAAAGGGAAAAAAAAAAAAAAAAACTTCAAGATCCAGTACTAAATGCTCCCCTCGACCCGTACATGTAAACGCCAATTAATGTGGGGAAGAAAACCAATAGAAACATGAAGAAGAAAGTAGCGTACTTTCAGATTGAGACACAACAGTACTACAATAGCCCAAAAGAACGTACACCACAAATTAATGCATAAAATGATCATTTCAATCCAGCCTGTGCTGTGAAATATTGACTACTTGCAGCAGCAGCAGCACTAGTACACAGAATGCAGACTACTGAATGCATGCATTCCCCCCCGACTAACATCGTCATCATCATCACCCCAACTTGATCTCCATCCTTATCTTCTAAACCTAACTTACTTCCCCACAGCCCACAGCCATCCATATATAGCAACCAGCCGACCAGCTTTGGCCAGCCATTATTATCATCAGTAGTACGAAAAGTATAGGTACAATTATTATTATTGTAGTCAAGCTACGCAGAACATATATGTGGCCATAAAATAAGACTGACTAGCTAGCGCCTCCTGGCAGCAGTTTCCCTCTGGGCATTGAAGTAAAGGGCAGCCACCGGGAGGCCGAGTTGGTTGTCCACTGCAAACTTCCTGCTATCAAAGTTGTCCCTTAATATTGTTGTTGATGGTGAAGAAGAAGAAGAAGAAGGATTCAGAAGCAGTGGTGGTGGGTTTTGGCCTCTTCTTCTCTTCTGCTTGAACAGCAGGAACACGTACCTGTGGATCCCTATGCTTGGCCTCGGCATCTCGTAGCTCACCACTTCCCTTCCTGCACACAGTAACATGAGTACTCAGGACAGTTAGTTTTTAACCAAATTCCATGAACAAAGTGGAAGGGTTGGAGATCGAATTTGGGTACTGATTATTAATTATTACCAAATGTTGCATCTGTTGTGCCTGGGATATCAGTCACCACCCTGTTACATTACATATATATACCCAAGATTAGATTATAGTACGAGAAAACTGGGCTAAAACGCGCGCGAACAAGAGTTTGGTCTAGTTACAGATTCGGAATCGCTTAATTACGTGCCGCTGACATTAAAAACAAACCTATTATTCCACTCTTGTTAAAAAAAAAACTGACTAATTAAAAGTAGCAGCTAGCAATGTAGTCAAAACCGCGATTCGAAACTTAAAAACTTACGATTTTAGGTCACTAAAATGTTTCTACACAAAATCTTGGTTCTTACAACTGATGTAGTTGAAAAAAACTCCGCTTTTAAAACTTAAAAAACTTATGATTTTACGCTTCCAGATCACCAAAACGTTTCTACGTAGAAACTCGCTTTTGAGGCCGCTAGCAATGCGGGCAAAAGGTGATATGATGCATCAGTAGTACTACTGTTGATCAGATTTCAAGAATGTCGTGGACTAAAGTGCTCAACTTGTACACACTAGCTATGTAGAGATAGATGCCCCTATCTGTGTACCTGAACCCTCTATTTTTGTATACAGTCTGTGTGAACATATATAGAAAAAAAAAAAGGCTTTGGCAGAGAGGATTTATATATTCAAGTTTTATACCAGTTTCCCAAAAGAGGGGAAAATCATGGAGAAATATAGTCCATGAAAGACAAACCAGTGCAAGTGCTCTCTCAGGTAAGGATCGCTTGGCCCAGGGACATCTGGGTCTGTCATCACCTGAAAAACATCAAATGGTCACCAAAAGCAACAGAATGGTCTCCAAAAGTCGCAAAAAACGACTATAGTATTGCTTTTGCGACCAGTTATCTGGTTGCAAAATGTACAAAAAAGAAAAGAAAAAAATCATAATCAAAGAGACAGAATCTAATTTACCAGGGTGAAGAAGGACCTGAGGTCACCACCATGGACCTCGACCTTGGGCTTGTGAGTGACAGCAGAAGGGAAGAGCTCATGGCCATTGAAGACCTGCTGCTGCTGCTGCTGCTTTGTGGAGCTGTAAGAGACAGCCATCTTCACACTTGGGTTGAAGCTATCGACCACATCTCCTATCACTCTCCCTACCACTAGTGGGTCTGATGAACACATTTTCCCCATACCAGACACTTCTTTCTTCACCCAGTTAGGTAAAATTGAAGGAGAGAAAACAGAAAGAGAGTAGCTTTATATATATATAAACTTGGGGTTTTTGCTGGATTTTGATTGAGAGAGGTAAATGTTATTGGCATATTTATAGTGAGTCATGGGTGTGGGAGTGAATGTATGAGTGAGGGTGTAAAAAGGGAAAGATAAGAAAGGAAAAGACAGCGAGCATTGATTCTTTTGTTATGGGAGAATTCAAGTACTACATTGGTAATACAAGGGAGGGAAGTGACCCTATTGTATATTAGTGTCCACCTTACCAGATTAATACGAGGCATTTTGAGGAGGACATCAAAGAGTAGAATCGACACCTTTTTTATCCATCTCCATTAATGGATGGATAGGTCTTCTTTGTTCGGTCTAGTCATCATGTGGGGGCTGGTTATGTGAGGGGAAAGAACCCCTTATATTGTACTTTTTGAAGACAATAAGACATTTTTGTGTTCAATTATTGAGGCCAAACTTCAACCCTTATTGGTGATTTGTATATATATATACATGAAGATCAATTCTTGTATTATTTGAAATAGAATAGTGTTGCAACTGAGCCGAATCGAGCCGAGTTTCGATCGAAGTTGGGTTTAGTTAGTCGATAAACGAGTCGAGCTCATTGGCTTGTTAATTTACTGAAATCTTAGTTTGTATTTGACTCGAACTCGACTCAATAATCAGTTAGTGAGCTCGAATCGAGCCCAAATATCAGAATATTTTAGTTCATTAATTTTAAATATTTAATAGTGATTATTATCTAAACAATTTATGATACATAATTTCTCTTTTCAATTATAAACTAGACAAATTCACTCACGGAATCACAATCTTTGAACATAAGAATTGATAAAAATATATAATCTAACAAACACATACATTATCAACAAGCGTACTTATAAGTTAATAGATCAATTCACTTATAAATCGTTAATGGAACTGACTCGCTAAGTACACTGCAAATTAGCTCATAATTCAAAACGAGAAATGTCAAAAGTTGAGCTCAACAAACTATTCACTCGCCGTACAAGCTCAACAAAGCATAGGTCAATAGGTTTCCCTATTTACCCTTTAAGAACCAAATCTATTGGGCCCTCTCGCCTCCGCAAGACAAAAGCCAGGTCCGTTCTGAGCCCAAACCCTTAGACCGGCCCACAGTCACTTGAGTCCGGGTTTCTTCTCCTCCCTTTCCCCAAATACAGTCGAGGAAGGAATTAGAGAAGAGAAGCTTAAGCCTGGAGTGACGAACAAGACAGGGCGCTACTTGATTTGATTAGCATCAAACTTCCATCCCTTCCAATTCAGAATCCTTCTTCTGAAACCCAATTCACTACTCATTCCAAGCTACCTCTCGATTTCGGTCTCCGACGACGGTGAACTCGCCACGCTTCTCAAGCAATGTCGGTAAGTAACTTAATCCGAACCCTAGTTAGTAAATCTCATACAGAAACGGGAATCGTGGAGACTGATTTTGTGTTGTTTTTTTCAATTTGGCGGCAGATTTTCGAGTACAATGGTAGTGCCCTAGTGGCGATGGTGGGCAAGAACTGCTTCGCCATAGCTAGCGATCGGCGATTGGGTGTGCAGCTCCAGACCATCGCCACCGATTTCCAGCGAATCTCCAAAGTCCACGACCGTCTCTTCATCGGCCTCTCTGGCCTGGCCACCGACGCTCAGACTTTGTAAATGTTCTGTCTTTACACCTTTTGTTTGTTCGCAAAATGTCAGAGGGTGGAGGGTGCTGAAGGTTGTTTGTATTTTGGGTATTGTTTTGCAGGCATCAGAGGCTTATGTTTCGACATAAGCTGTATCAGCTGAGGGAAGAGAGGGACATGAAGCCTGAGACTTTTGCCAGCCTTGTCTCCGCTCTGCTTTATGAGAAAAGGTGTGGAATTTAATCTTGTTCTGAGCTATAATGGTTTATGCTTAGGTTCTGTAGCGTGAATAAGAGTGATTGGGGTTTTAGTGAAAAGGGGTTGGAACGTAGATAACTAGCCACTTTCAAGTTCAAGAAAACAGTGGATATGTTGGGGCCTTTCGAGGGCTGCCTCTTCTAATGTATATATAGCACTTTGATGGACAACCTACCCAAGATGAGAGGATTGGAGAACACAGCGTTACTCTCTATTCTATTTCTCCTCTGTCATTCTGTAGAAATTCCTTACACTTGGGCGGGAAGCTTCGCACAAAATGACCTGATACCCCTGAACTGTTAAAATTTGACTTTCACAATTGAACTGAAGAAGTGCTGATAACGAATACATCACTTACATTCATCCTCAGTTGTCTGCTCTGATTATTCTGTTCCAATGCTGTCTGCAAGTTGTTTTCTAGTTCACTTTGGTAAAGTTATACTTTTGCTTATGAAAGTAAGTGCAAGCGTCTGTTCTCAGGTTTGGTCCTTATTTCTGCCAACCTGTGATTGCTGGATTGAGTGATGGTGACAAGCCATTCATATGCACGACGGACTCTATTGGTGCCAAGTATGTTTCTTTCTCTTCCCTCAATTTGATTTTTTAGAGTCGACCAAATGTGATTCCGTAATCAAAGCTGTGTGTGCCATATTCTTACAGAAGACTGTCTTTGTCATTTAATGATCCTTTTATGTTCATGAGCATGTTGCTGTTTCTTCTAAGTTAATCTTGAAGCATTTCCAACAAATCTAGTTAAAGTTTTAAAACCGTGACTACCACTGCTGCTACACTTTTCAAGTTCTTCCAATCAACCAGCCTCTTCTAGTGTTGCCATTTGCAATTATAGCTTGCTTACAGAATCATGGTCATTTGTTACTGGACATGGTTGAATCAGACTCTTTGTCACTTAAGTATCAGAGGCTTTTGAACAACTTGAAGTAATTTTATTTGGAATAGGATAGGATAATGCTTCTGTCATTTTTAGCTTGTTATATGCTTCTCGATAAAGCTCTGACACACTCTTCCTCCTTGTGCTTCTCTTTTTACTTCATTTGTAGGGAACTGGCAAAAGATTTCGTTGTTGCAGGAACAGCTGGAGACTCGCTTTATGGTGCGTGTGAGGCCATGTTCAAGCCTGACATGGTAAGTTTCTTTTCACCTTTTTTAGGTTAGCTAATAGAATACTGATACTGATATTGCAAATACTGGGTTTGGTACTGAGTCTTCTTAGATAATCCATTGAACAGAATCGATCCTGAGTTATTAGCTCTATGCGGTGAAGGAAAAATGAATAATGTATCTTGAACTTGTTGTACGCTCAGAGATTTGTATATTTTAAGTTAGTACAAGGGTTCAATATTTGGTTGCTGAAATCTTGAATTATATTGTTGCCTGGTATCTGAAGATCGGAGAGCTATCCAAGTAACAGCTACAACTAGACTAACCTCAAGGGGCTGGTCCCGTGGTAATTACAGATGAAAATCGAGTAATTCAAGTTCTGGGAAATATCTTGTACAAGGGTTTGATTTATTAAAAGAGCATACTAGAAACAGTAACCTAATGAAGCTCTGGAATTTTCCTTACAAATCAAGTAAAGGACATTCCTTTGTTGTTAAAAAGTTCAAAAAAATTCATGTGTGATGCTTATTGCTATGAAGTGTGCATTCCACGTCATATATAGCGAGCCTGACTTCCTTGATGTAATCTTCAGGAACCCGAGGAGCTATTTGAGACATTGTCTCAAGCACTTTTGGCTTCAGTGGATAGGGATTGTCTTAGTGGATGGGGAGGACACATCTATGTTGTGTAAGTCTTGATGCAAATGCTTTATATAATCCTTTCTAAGTTCTCCAAGCTCTATTCATTTTCTTTAGGTTGCTTGTTGTAATGTTCAACTAGTTCCATTACTGTGGCCAATTATGCTTGCTAATGCAATCTGTGTACTCAGTTAACGCCCTTCTTGAAGATGGTACTGATTGAGCTGATGTGATACTTTCTGTTTTGGGTCTTGCAGCACTCCAACTGAAGTAAAAGAATGCACGTTGAAGGGAAGGATGGATTGACCAATCATCTCCGTTGTATGCAGCTCCAGAGGGCTCTCTGTTTTGGTGACAAAAACGTTTGGCCATGCACAAGTCTCAGTATCATCGGACCCTGGATTCTTGGTTGATCAGGGCTTAGGCTGTTTGGGACTGTAAAACTGAAAGTATGTATTTTTAGAGTTGGACCTGAGATTTGTGGAACCTAATCAGCTGCTTTCTTCTGCTACCTGAAATGTGTTTATGCTCTTTTTCAGTGGCCGTAGTAATTGCGTCTTTCTTGGTTGATACATCGAAGTATCTCCGTGATTACATGTCTGCCAAACCAACTTCAACCGATTTTTTTTTTTTTTTTTTGGAGAAATAATTGACTGATACTGGCATAATTGACAACCTCGTAGGCCGTAGCAAATTGAACAGATCGGGCCCAAAGAAGTCTCACATTGACCTGGGCCGGATAGCCCACGAGCTTGCTGACCTTGTATGACGTTGGGTTACCAGTTACCACTATATATAGCATGCATGCAACCCAATTAAAGTACATGCAGAAGTCTTCGGCCAGCAGCAAAGAGAAATGGCTTCCAAAGTTTTTCAGGATAGCTTAATTACATGGATTAACGATAGTAATTACGGGTGTGTTTACAATTATCCAATTTAACAATAGTCTGAACTCATAAAACTCGTATTTTGCATCATAATCTCGAGCAAAGGTGTGCCACTGAGTGTAAGTTGATGTACCATGTACAACATATATGTAGGTCTGCCTTTGCCTATCTCAAATCCCAGCTCTAGATCAATTAAGTTTCTTTAAAATTCATAAAATCCACGAATTTGGTACCCGGGCATCAAGGCCGTCCAATGGATCGTGGAAACCTTGTTCCAAAATTGAGAATGTGGCCCAAATTGATTTTTAATTATAATAAAATTAAAATGATTATATAATTATTTGAAATGTAATATCTTTCTAACATAGTTTAAAATAAAATTATCTAGTATGTCTCTAATTTTTGGATTCTCCATGGGATAATTTCGATTGTTATCACAGCTATTCCACTAAAATTTTCTTGTATTTTTATAATATAAATAAGATTTTCGAAACAAAAACGATACTTACAATCAATGTAAGTGTCTAGTATATACTATATATACATGCGTTATACACTACAATTACAACCTACAATATACGGTCGGGTTAACTATCGGATTCAGATGGAGACCCCTAATAATTGTAGGCCATATGCTAGAGGGCCACCTGGCACACCCTCTTGGCCGGGCCTGCCCGGCATAATTCTCAAGTTCATCACCTCAACCGAGGATTAAGGAGACGCTTTGCAGTTTCAGTTTCTTTAGCCGCATTATACCAACAGATATTGTTTATTCACGACTAGCATATGTATAAGCAACAATATATAGCATTACATCCGTCGATATAATCAAAGGGAAATTAAGAGACCAAGTACGAGAACCAGCAGACACTGAAACCATATCAATATTACAGCAGATCAGAGTGCACGGCATATGCACCTTTGTTAATGAGAAGGAAAACACAACACCGTACGTAAACAAACCCATATACTCGTATCCTATGCATCTTCATCTTCTTCTTCTTCTTCTTCTTCTTGTTGTTGTTGTTGTTGTTGTTGTGGATAGTTGGCTAGCGGCGCCTGGCAGCAGTCTCCCGCTGAGCGTTGAAGAAAACGGCAGCGACGGGGAGGCCGAGCTGATTGTCCCGAGCAAACCTCCTGGTGGTGAAGTTGTCCCTGGAGCCCGAAAACGACTTCGTTTGGCCCCTGGACCTCTGCTTGAACAGCACGAACACGTACCTGTGGATCCCTATGTTGGGCCTCGGCATCTCATAGCTCACCACTTCCTTCCCTGCATGCGCCCATATTGTACAAGTTAAGAAGAAGAGATCGAGAAGAAGTGAAAGAAAAACCCAAATGCTGATTTTTTGATTCCGGAGGAAAGGGATAATGACTTAATTAATTACCAAATGTTGCATCAGTGGTGCCTGGGATATCAGTCACTACCCTGCAACCCAATAAAATTGTACAGACAACAACAATCAGTGGGGGGGAAAAGAAAAAAAAAAAAGTTAGAGAGAGGTTGATCATATGAGCAATTTCAGGCTATTCACATACTGACACAAGTGGTACCACAGTTGAATTTCTAGAGAGAGAGAGAGAGAGAGGTATATACTACTGTTGAGGATGTCAGACCCTAGCTACATATATACACAGTTTTCTTTTTGTGCAATTTTTCTTCTTTGTGTTTTTGCTAGATTTGATCATCATATTCTCAGTACTTTGACCCTTCCATTTTTGTACTCATCATCACAGGTCAAACGTTACTCACGAGTAGTTTAAGTGTGGTATGTCTACGCGTAGATCATGAATTAAATCGAAATATAAGATATAAAACTAGATTCTAACATCTATAATAGATAGGCTTCATATCCTGATTTTCTAAAACCCAATTCCGAAACATCAAAATACGCGTTGGAGGAGACATGTTGGAGGTATTTCTAATACATAGATCATGAATTAAATCGAAGATGAGATATCACATATAATACTATATTCCAACCTCTGATAGATAGGCCCTTCATAGTTCGTACCCTGATTCTCTAAACCCAAAATTGAAACATCAATTTAATAAATTATAGTAATCGATGATTATGATTCGGCAAAGTACCTGCGCGCAGTCTGATCACTTGAAGTATATAGTATACTTGATATATAGTATTTGTAAAATAAAATTAAAATTAAAAAAACAACAACCCCACTTTGGCCCTTTCTCAAACATTTCTACTTTGGTGTGGGTTTCATGATGGAAGCAAGCAAAGTTTGCAAATTTAAGACCAGAACAAGAAGGGAAAAGAAAATATATATGAGGAATGAAAATGGTGATAGTGAATTTGTGTTAATGTTATGAAGGGACAAACCAGTGCAAGTGTTCTCTGAGGTAAGGATCACTTGGGCCAGGGACATCTGGGTCTGTCATCACCTGGGAAAAAAATCAAGCCCCATACATCATCATAAAAGCTCCAACTTTGTCGCAACCAAAAGTAAAATGGTCACCAAAGCAACAAAATGGTTCTTGAAACTCTCTAATGACTATATTGTTGCTTTTTTGGCAACCATTTTTCTGGTTGCAAAAAAGATCTGAGTGTGTAGAGAAGTGTATAAATAATAGTTACCAGGGTGAAGAAGGACCTGAGGTCACCACCATGGACCTCGACCTTGGGCTTAAGAGTGAGAGCAGAAGGGAAGAGCTCGTGGCCATTGAAGACCTGCTGCTGCTGCTTTGTGGAGTTGTAAGTGACAGCCATCTTCACACTCGGGTTGAAGCTGTCCACTACATCTCCTATCACTCTCCCGACCTCCAGAGGATCTGACACCACTTTCCCCATTTTTTTTCCTTGTGGGCGATTCTAGAGAGAGAGAGAGAGAGGAAGAAACTAACTAGATAGGTGGATGGAAAAGTACCAGTAGTAGTAGCAGTGGTACTATATTTTTTGCCCTTTGGTTGGTTGGGGAATTGAGAATTGAGAGTGGGAAGTGCAATCCCCCAACCGCCCATTTATAGTAAGTGGAAATTAAAATGGAGATGGAATAATCTGGGTTTCAGGTTGTTGGGAGAAGTATAGTTAATCCTTTTAATCACTTACACGCCTCCTTCAGACGAAAGTCGATGTTGAATTGTGGATTTTTTACGGTTTGCACAGGTTGAACCCTTGTGCAATTGGCTGGAAATTGGGGGTCGTTAGGAGGGATTCGAAATCATGACCGCTCGATTCTTGGCTCTAATACCATGTTAGCGAACTAAACATTTGGTCCCAATAGAAAAATGGATAGTTAAACTTTTTAATCTCTTACTGATGGGAGAAAAAGGAAACAACATGTGCAGTGTTTTTCCCCCTCTCTTTTGAAGCTCATCGAAGGACTTTGTGTTAGCTTTGCAGCCTGCAGATAGAGATGCATACAGAGGTCATCACGTGCGGGATAATATGGCTTGTCGACAGCACAACAAATAAGGAGTGATTTGGGCAATGTTTGTGAAATCAACCGGAAAAATCTTTGGTAGATAGTTTTTAGTCGTATAAAACGGTTGACTCACGATTAAATCATGATTATAAACAACGACTAGACACAGTTGCCATCAAATATAAGGAGAAAAAAAAAATACTTCAAGATGTGGGTGTTCAAACTCCCTAACTGTTCAGAATTGCAACTACGGGTACATTCATCTTGTTTTTCCCTACAAAAGTGATATATGTTTGGTTTTTAATTAGGTGTTATTTAAGATATTTGAATCTAAAACCTACGAGTACAAGACTCATGATAATTTTTCTAGAAGCTGGAAGAGTTAGGGTTAGAGGTAACTGTAGTTTTTTCGTCTCTCTTTTTAAAACTTTTTCTTAGTTTCGACATTCTAAAGCATATTGTGTTTGCCATTTTGTTAATTAAACATAGACATGTTGGAGGGTGGGGGAAGAACTAACAGCCCATAAAAAAACCATTTTAAGGGTCACCTCAAGCTGGAATGTCCTTATTCTCTTATTCTCTCTTTCAGAAGGAAAAACACGTAAAGAAATTCTTGGATATATTAACCCTTAATTAATAAACTAGTTCTAAACATATTATAATCGTCTTATTATATTGGACGATGAGGAGTCGAACTCCCGGTTAATGTATATTAATTTTTCACAAATATATGTAAATTTCAATCCTCATAAGTTTAGTATTAACCGCGTTAATTTAAACATAAGAAAGAATTAAGCATGAATTTATGTAAAATTCAACCTCACGGGTTGGCTTTCATTTGAGTTGAGGATGAGTCTTGCATGGGTTTGAAGGTTTGACGAGGTAACTACATTAAAAAGGGACGAGTTTTAGCGGATGGTAGTGCCGCTACAGTTGGCGGCAAACGTGCCTTGGGAAACAACATATTTGTAGTGTATATTTCGTGAGAAGATTGCAATTTTGAAGATGCGGTTCTTATTAGCTAACGTCTGGTATATGAAGATATTTTTACTTTTTTCACATACAAAAATATGAAATTCAAATTGCCAAGGACCTGAAAGGATCACAACGGAATGGTATACAAAGTCAACCAAGCTCAATTAATACAAATAGGATTTATGACTACATAAAGCGTTCACGACTTTCAACATTAACAGTTAATTAAAGGTGTAGGTACATGCTTGTGGAAAGTTCAATTTCAAGTGCATGGATTGATTTCTGTTTGGGAGTGATTGTAAGAGAATGAGGTAAGTTCTATTTTGTAATTACTTCCAACTCGAATTATTAACACCGATTAGTTAACACATAAAAATTATAAGTTTGTATCGTTGTTCCTATGAATTTATCGGGTGTTTATAGAGAGAGAGAGAGAAAAATAGAAATTTTCAATTTTGTTGTGTGAAACAAAGCAGAAATATTTTAATTTGGGTGGTGGACAGACCTTTCCATTTGGGGCATAATGTGTAACACCAATGCATAGATCTAGTTGCCTTATATGGTATATGATTAAGAATTTAAAAATTCTGCAAGCATTACTTATAGAAATAAGGCTGCGAAAGGTACGCTTACTTAATTGGTAGTGCTTTATTTCGTCAGAAGATTCATATTAAAAAATAAATATTAATTCAATTTCCAAACTTGATTAGAGTGGGATTTCCTTAAATAGAAATACCAAAGCTTCCATGCAATGCCATACTCCACCAAGGTATTGTGGATCGCCACTTTCGCTGAGGAAAAGTATAGATATATATATATATATAATTAAAGCCTCAAATGGAACAGGAGAATAAGGTTACATGACTCATTAATGGGGGAAAGTATAGGAGAAATCAAGTATGTTTCAGAACTATGGATAGCAAAATCGTACCAGAAATCGTATCAGACAACCTAATAGTACGGTATCGCGTGTAGTACAATCATAATTTAACCGATAGCATACTGATACCGTATTGTTGTTGAAATAATATTAATATAGTTATGTGGTGTACAAAGATTGTCTGCGTTTCCATCCCAAATCTATCAGTTTCAAGGAAATATGATCTACACCAACAAAAATGTATAGTTGTATTTTATATTGTATAGAATATGGTCGAATGGAGCATCAAATGGTTGGCCTTGTGGTAGTCAATCCAATCTTTTTTAGCCTTTAACTCACAGGTAGAGGAAGTGGGGGTTTTTTTTTTTACTTGTTTTGTCTTTGCTTTTATTCAATTGCATTTCTTCATTTGGTAATTAGCAACATTGTTATTGCAAGAATGAGAAAATGGGTCATCGTGGGAATGGCTACTTTGAGAACACTACAAAATCGTGAATATAATATCAAGAGACTTATAGAGCCAGAGTATAATTCCATGGAGGCTGCAGAATATGTGTGCCCAATTCTCCTTCATACATTTGCAAAAGAGTGTTAGATTATTGTTGTTTATAAGTTTAAGATAGTGCTTATTTTTTTAAGCCTGTTTATGGTACACCCTTGATTTTGGGGGTATGCTTTACGTTCTCGCGTAAACGTAGATTCTAATAATTAAATTCAAATTATGATTGATGATATTTTCGTGTCGTATGATGATATATATATATAGTCTGAAAATACTACTGATCGGAGCAATCAATTAGGTGTGCTAGGAGACCTTCTATCTCTTAACTTATTATGGTTTAAGCCTATTAATTGATGCTAGAGATAGTTATTGATCAATATTCTCATATGTATATATAATTAATTGTTCAAGTCCTAACAACACAAGAAATTCTTAATGGATTAGTTATGACAACAATTGGAGTATGTTGAGACGGTTTCTTTGTCGACGAACTATCTGGGGCTTCCTTTGGGATCTAGAATGGCTTCTTTAGCTACTTGGGAACCAATGATTGAAAAGGTCCAAAATCGTTTAGCCTCTTGGAAGGCTAGGATGCTCTCATTTGTGGGGAGACTTGTTTTGTTAAAAAGCGTCCTTGCAAATCTTCCCATATACTTCTTATCTCTTTTTAAGGCCCCTACATCAGTGATTGCAAGGTTGGAGAAAATTTATAATGATTTCCTCTGGTCTGGTGTGTTGGATACTAAGAGATTGCATTGGGTTTGATGGGATTTGGTGAAAACCCATATGGTGAGGGGAGGTTTGGGAGTTTTGGATCTCAGGAGTGTTAACCGATCTCTTTTAGGGAAATGGGTTTGGAGATTTGGGGTGGAGAGAGATGCTTGGTGGAGGAAAATGATTGTGGCAAAATGTGGAATAGGTTCTTTAGAATGGAAACCTTGTTGGAACTTGGGATCATATGGTTGCTCTTTGTGGCGTACTATTGTCAACGAAAGTTCGCACTTTTGGAAAGTTGCTTATGTCGATCCTGGGGGGGGGGGGGGTGTTATGGAGTATCCTTCTGGCATGATGTGTGGATTCCTAGGGAACACTTGGTGAGAGAGTTCCCAAGGGTTGGGTCCGCTGCCCAATCCTTGGATGCTTTTGTTTCTGACTTGGTTTCTTTGGATGACAGGTCTTTTTGGGAGATCCCCCTTACAGTTTCACTAAGGGGCGGGCCTGAAGCTGAACGAGTTCGTTTGATGCATTTGTTGTCTTCACTTCCACATAGTTGGACTTGTGCCGGCCCAACTCATTTGGTTTGGCCCTTGGAGAAATCATCGATTTTCTCTGTGCATTCCTTCACACAACACCTCATTGATGATTCTTTTGAAGGTGACAACTCCTTCCCCTACAAGCTCATATGGATTTCTTCCATCCCTTCGAAGATTTGCTGCTTTCTTTGGATGACCTCATTATCAAAAATTGCCACCATTACTAATTGGTGTTCCTTGTGTAAAAGCAATGAGGAGTCGATTTCACATCTTATGTTTACTTGCCCATTCTCAAGGATAATTTGGGAATTCTTCACGAGAGCTTTAGAGCTGCATGGTCCTTTCCCCGCTCAGGTTCGGTCTTTTCTCCATGCTTGGAGAGGATTGAGGTGTGATCTGAAGTTCACAGATTGCTTTAAAGTCTTGCCACATGCAGTGTGTTGGTCACTCTGGAGCGAAAGAAACAATAGGATTTTTAGAGATATTGGAATTTTCCCCATACACTTGTGTCACAAGATCATCCAAATGGTTGGGAGGTGGCTTCGAGCATTTAAAATTCTTTCAGACGCCCACTTACAACAATGGGTAAGGATTGGGGATGGCTGATAGTTGTTTCTTTGTTTTGATTTGTTTCTTGGTTTTGCCTCAATGTGTAGGTGGTTTTTGGGGCCTTGAGGTTCAAGGGAATTCACTTTGTTTTTGTTTCTCTTTCTGTTAGTGTTAGTTATCGGTCTCCAGTCTTGAAGTTTCCATTCTGGTTCTTGTTTTTTCTCTTGGAGTTTTGGTATTATTTTGCCAAAAAAATTTCCTTTTTCTTCTCAAAATTTTCTTCTTGCTTGTAAAGGTGTTCATTTTTTAGTTGTATTTTCTTGTTTCCTCTTTGTAATAAAGTTCATCATTCATAAAAAAACAATTGGAGTATGTTGAGAAAGTGAGAACATGTAGTGCATAGTCCTTGTAGTAGGGGTGGGCAACCGGTTCGGCAAACCCGAACTTATCTGAAACCGAATTAAACATAACCGAAATCGAAATAATGCTATTCAGTTCGGGATTTGGAAAAGAAATATGGATATTTTGGAAATCAGGGTTCTTTCAACTAAATCGAATTTCCGACCGAAAAATCGAAATACTATAATTGCAAGCTCCAAATGGTGGATTTTTATGTTTTTAGTTGTTTTTAGACTTAAATATTTGAAAATTTTATGACTTATGTGTTGAAAAGTTTGATTTTATCATTGATGATGCATATAATTGCATATTTATTGTTTATATTAGGGGTGAAAAATAATTTAAAAGTGAGAAGATACAAGTAGCCTCACAAATCCGATTTTGTGTGAAAAACCAATTCGGTTTAAACCGACCGAACCGAATTATAATCCGGTTCAAATTCGGTTTAAGATTTGAGAGAATTCGGAAACCCAGTATTCATAATTTCAGTTCGGTCGAAACCGCACCGACCGAATGCCCACCCCTACCTTGTAGCCCGATGGCAGGTAGTTAGGAGGAAGGGAGGGTACACCCCCTGGCTAGTGTGTCTTCATCAAAATCAAGCCATTATCTGTTGAAGAATCTTTGCCTTGGCTAAGGCAGCAGCAGATAGATACACTTGGTCCTCTCTTGCCCTCCTGACACTTGGCTGTCTTTAGGGCAGTTTCGTGGGGTTTAGTTAGGAGTGTGCTTTCTTCTTTTGTCATACAACCCTTCAAGACCTCAAACAGCCCTTCACTTTCTTCCCCTGCCCTTCTTCTTTTTTGCAGGGCTTTCCTCCCTTGTACTATAGGGTATCCCTACAGTAGGGGATTTACCTAGAGTCCATATTCACCACAAGTTCAAAGGCACGTATTCCTGACCTTGTCTTTGAATTTACAGTCAAATCATGCAAAGTACTGGTGAGCCCGTGGAAATTAACTGCCTCCTATGTTTGCCAAAATTGTTGGCATGGATTGGTTGATGGCTACTGGCTAGGGTTTATTAATGTCCTTGGCCCTGTCGATGGAGTTCATGTCCTTGTTCCGAAACCCATGTTTTCGATATCTTAGAAAGAACTGTCTTCCATCCGGATTGACATAGATCACCACTCTTTAGATGTACCGGGTCATATGGAGTTCTACCGGCCTTGTTTCTCCTCCGATCAGGATACTTTCCGTTTTCGTGAGCGAGACTCGGGTTAAGCTCGGTCTCGTAACCATTCCATAAGAGCTTAGGAGTAAAGCATCCCAAGGTGCTTTAAGAAGAGAATCTGCATTCTTAAATCATCCCATGCTAATAAGAGTACATTCAAGAGAATCACAAATCCAAACTACCTCTGAGTTTGTAATTGTCCTTCAAGAGAAGAAATTGGACATATTTGAAAGTAGCCATAAAAGTAGAATCTAAAAGGGTGCCCTCTGATGACTTCTATAAATAAAAAACCCACTCTCATTGATCACTTTTCACCCCCTAGCTTTTACATTGAGGGGAACATGTGAATTCTGACTTCACATGTTAATGGCATGGAAGAGATCAGATAAGAGTAACCTGAGCAGTTCAGTTCAATGTTTTACCTTTAATCTATATCATGAACTCAACTTTACATGAGAGAAAAGCTGCTAGGCTGTATTAAGTCAATAATGGTAACCGAAGGAGCCAGAGACTAGCTCTCTCTCTATCTATAGATATGTACAGCCAACAAGCGAGCAGAGAACTGCTATATGTACAAAAGTAGCCTGCTTGATAAAGTCTGCATCACTGCAAAAGGTTATTTCTTCTTCGTAGCATCGATAAACATGGCGCGAGTCCAATGCTCGACGTCTTCAGTATGTGAAGGCGGCGGAGGAAACTTAGGGTGTTCCACCAGATCCCATCCATCAATAAGCCCTTCATATTTCCCCACCTCTGGCATATCGGTAGGCCCATATAGAAAACTGGTGGTTGAGGAGTTTAGGAGGTTATATTCATTCAAGTTCTTCTGCAGAAGAAATAATCAAGCAGGAAGATGTGCATGCATTAAAGATACTATTGCTTTCTGGAAATGAGAACCTTAGGCATTTTGAATAACTGACATGAAAAATCTAGGTAATATCTGGAAGATGACATTTATAGTGTGAGAAATCAGCAGGAAAAAGTTTTGAGACTATACCGTGAGATGCAGTGCATGTTGACTATCCATTAAAGCGCTGGATGAAAAGGCTGAGTTTACGTTCCAGACAGATTTATTTAGCTTTTGAGCTTGTTTACCTGACCTGAAACTCGAAAAAAAGACTATCATGATGCATGAGGCCAATATATGGATAATCGAACAAACAAGAACACCTAATGAAATACTCGACTAGATGCTAAAACATGATAGCAAAGTCAGTTTGCTCCATAGCAATGATCAATCCAAGTAGCAATGATCAATCCAAGTCAGTTTAAATGATTGCTCTTATCCTAAAGTATCATCAGAAGTGGAATGAAATATATTGGATATGTTTGTTCAGGCTTTTGTCAACTTGACTTCCACCCAAGTTTAAGCCTGAAGAGTAGCGAACAAACACATTCTAAAGGTAAGCCTCAACTAACTATTCGTTAGTTTTTACCAACACCCAACCTTCGTTTCCGAAAACCTGTACCGAACGTGCTGCTCCGCTACAACTACATACTGCTTCTTAACCTTAAGTTTCCTTCATTTCATTTTAAACAAGATCAAAATGAAATAGCTATTACCAAATTGCCAGAACAAAAACGGCAAAGATTTAATCTCCTAATATTTCCAAAAGAGGCACAAAACACAACCAAATTTGACTGTTGAACTGACAATAGTACTACAGTAAGTTCAAGATTTAGAAAGATAACTGAAAGAAACTAGCATGACTAATGGAAAGACAATTACTACTTAGACCTCAGTGCCACATTATGAACTACAGCCATAATCACCAAATGTAGATATTTCAGCAAATTAATGATTGCATCTAAGTACATATCTGGGAAATATGTGGTACAAGAAAAACATCTTCCTGGGATTGATTAAGACAGCAAAAAGACCTACCTTGAACAAGCCATTTGTAAGGAGAAAACTGACCGGACATCCTTTGAAGAAGACAGCATTGACAACAGTCTTGCAAAGGCTTCAAAGGTTGATGTTTCAGAAGGAATTTCTAAGCACAACAAGTTATAACAATAAGCTGTCATACATGCCACACTTTTCTTCAGAAGTGCAATGCCTTTTTGCAAGTCCTCGTGCGTTTGTACTGAATGTGGAGAAGCTGATGAGTAATTGAAGCTACTACTTCGGGAAGAATCAAGACACGCCTTTCTTTCTGACTCTATTGAGGCAACACCAAAGTTACTGGAGCTTCTATCAGAATCAGTAACTGAATTCTCACCACTGCTAGAGCAATAATTCTGGCGGGGTATAAAAAGAGGATACTCGTTGCTGCATGGGAAGGGAAATATTCAGTCCAAAAAGGTTGCAATTCCAACATCACCTGCTCAGTACAAATAAACAAAGACAATTCTTCCAACATGTATACCTTCTTGATGAGGGCCGTGCATTCCAGTAAGAATCTCGCTGCCATATTCGAGAGCAAGAGCCCTAAGAAAATATTGAGGTATGAAATTGAGATCCAGATACAAGGAAATTAACCAGAGTACTATTCCACCATATCAAAAACCCTACTTTCAAGCATAGACAGAAACAGTAAATAAAGGTGTAAGTAGATTCTTTGTTAAGAAGAAACTAGAAGTTTGAAAAGCTCTTCTCTTGGGAACTATCAAATTACAGGAAGAACGCAAGAAAAGAATCCAGATCCCACAAATTAGCAAACTCACAAGCCTTTGACGAATTTACAAAGTTCTTGTTGCAAGCAACTAAAGAAATTGAAAAAGGCCCTGTTCAGACGTCATGATACCAATCTAAAACAAAGATAAGATCCCAGGCTATCTCACCAAATATTTGTAACACATAAAAAAGTAGGGGGAACATAAAATATAGTTCCACAAATCATTTTAAATAACTTGTGTTTGTCGAAAAAGATGGCCAAGTTCATATTCAATGGATTTAAGAGAACTGAGATTTGCAGGAACGCTTATTTTTTTGGTGGGAGAGGAACACTTTCAAATAGAGGCACAACGAACTTACCGCAAAACCAGCATTATGAAGAACAGGGGCAGCCAAGTTACGAACAACAAGATTTAGAAGCTGCACCATGTACCTGGAACCCAGCAATCATTGTGACTAGTTTGAGAAGGAACTTATTGCCAGGGATTAGATTTCTCAAATCGTACTAGGATAACATTGATTTGCATGATGAGTCACAGAAATTACCCCAATGAGGCACCAAGCTCTTCTGATGGTACAGAGTGGGGATCAAGTCCTCTTGGTAAGCGAGCATTGCAGATTTGATCAAATTGACCACTAGTTCTCTCCCCTTCCATTTTCACCTGACCAACATGTGGTGCACAATGTAATCGCTATAGGAAAGCTAAGACCTTAGATCAAAGTAAAAAAAACAACCAAGCAGAATCCATCACTTCACATGACCAAAAGATAGATCACTTTTGGAAACAACAAGACCACGCACACGCAAAGTCTGTCGGGAAGTGATGGGTACGGCCTAGCAGAATACAGCTATTTTTTTTTTTTTTTCTAGACAACCACATCAATATCAAAACACCGAAAATAGAGAAAGACTTTGTTATTACCTATTTGTACATATTACCATATTCCTATTGCATACTACAGTCTATATTAAGGAGCTTAAATGATATGGTAATGCAAATGGATTTGCATACTAGTACAATCTATATTCAGGAACTTCAGTGATGTGGTGTGCAAAATGGATTTGCATACTGCAATCTATATTCAGGTACACTTCAACTGAACCAGAATTACAACCAAATTCCATTTACTTCTTCCCCTGATGATTTCCAATAGGGACCACATGTTTGCTCAAGCTCCAACCATGAGTAATACTAGTAACTCGAGATATATAGTATTACAATCCTAATACATCAGTAGGGCCTGCACAACCATACTGAAATCTATATTCAGTTGCACTTCAACTGAACCAGAACATAGCAAAATTATATTACTTCTTCCTCTGATGATTTCCAATAGGGGTCACAATGTATATTTTAATAACTGTGAATGGAAAAGATCGAAACTGATTGTATCTGTTAAAGTATATTTTAAACTCCAATATGATTCTTTATGTAAACCTATATTCACTAGTAATTTCCTTCTTTTCGGGCGAGATACTGAACTTGCATACAAATATTTAGAAACCCTATGATTGAGCAGTTCTTACCTTCCGTTGAGGTAGCAACTTGCATATCTGTTTTATGACGAGAGATTGTTTATGAAGTAGTTCTGTGGTAATAGCCATCTGCAGTTCATAGAATCCCATACAATGAATAAAGCAACATGTTTCTAAACAGAACGACATAAATATCCAAAGGAATCAGCTTGAATATCTCACATGGCCTAAACTCTGAGTGCAAATAAGGTTTGGATAGAACTTGTCAAGTTGTTCCAAACGGTTCTTCTCTAACTGCACAATAATGAACCACAAATGAGCGCTCGGATATAATTAACAGAAAAGCTACCAACAAAACCAAAACTGAAATGGAAGGAGAAAAACAGTTATTACCACCGCACGAGCTGAATCTAGGACACTAAACTTGACCTTTAGCTCGCCTGACATCCTCTCAACCTTGGCCTTACCTGCACAATTCATGTATTCTGTCATTAAGTTAAAAACAAAGATATTTCAGCAGCTTGTAACCTAAGTTCTACTCCCCTCTGCCATACACAAGAAGGCCAACCTTGGTTGAGTCGTTCTCTTCTACGACGAAGCTTCTCCTTCAAAATTGCCACCTTCTCCTTGTGTTGTACTCTCCAATTTGACTGATCATCTGCCATTCCCTGAACAGAATAAGTAAGCAAAATTGCTTTAAACACATTGCTACACTAACTTTTTTCCTAATTACTGAATTACAGCATACTCATGACGCTTGAGAACAAGAGTAACAGAAGCACAAAATGAACCATTAATATCAAACCTTTGCCACTAGGACTTCACTTAGTCTCGAGTACAAGGAATCCCGCTGGCTCTTCAACGATTTCAACTGGGTGCTAAATTCATTATTCAACCTACATATCCCCCGCCACAGAGAGGAAATCAATAATGGGATGCTACAGAAGATCACATATCTCGAACTCTCTTATAAAACTTCCAAAACGCTTAGGTTTGTGGGAACTGTTTCACCTGTAATTGACACAAACTGCACAAATGGAAGCACGATTTGAGTTCTCACAGATAGCACAGCAACTGGACCTTTTGCTCATAGCTCCCTCTTCACCAATTCAACCAACGCCGGGATTTCTATACACCAAGACAGTTCAACCAGATCTCAGTTGCGGAATTAAACACAAAACCAGAACAGCGGAACTGGCAAAACCTAAAGGTAGCACGCTAGCAAGGATGTATTCACTATTCAGGATATAGCTTCACTCCAAAATCAAAGGCAAGTGACGATAAAAGACGATTCAATGTCTGACTTAAGCTCGAGTACGAGTAGCGAACGGACCGATTAAAACCACAATGCCGGGAAGCAGTCGCAGGGGATTTTTAGCGGGGACTGAACGGCGACGAGATAATCCTCCGGCGAATTTGCCAAAATGTAACTCTTACTTTTTTATTTATCTTTCCGACCATTCATCTAAATCCCGGCAGCGTCGACGTTGAACGGAGACGACATCATCGGGTGCTGTGGTAGCCGACGTAACGTGAGAGGAAGGAAGGTAAGGAAGGAGCTCCTTGTATTTTCCAGCTCGCGTAATTGTACACCAAAACCAATCCCTGAATTACCCAACTGCACTAAATTAATCCCTTAACTCTTTTAAGTGTTGGCTTTAGCCCCTAAACTTTTTTTCAACAAGATCAACCACTGATGCCTGAACTTTCCTCAAATTGGTACCAGAATTATTGAGGATCCACAGTGAATAAACAGTGACGACTGAACGAGAGAAGCATTAGTGTCCCACATGGTCCACGTGCCCAATGTTTAAACGTGCTGTATTCATCTCCATCATCCCAACCTCAAATCATATTCTTGGACTGAATTGTCAAATGGGTCAGCTTCACTGTTGTCGAGTTCCCACCTAAGAATTTGGTTGGTTACGGATCTTTTGCTCAAGCTTTTAAGCTCTGGAAAGAAAGGGAATGCAAGAGATGCAAGAACCTAGCCCAAGCTCGAGCAAGAAGATATCAGCTGCAGTAGCCAGAGCTCACACCAGAAGAAACAGAGCCACCACCAGTAGTAGCAGCATCAAAGGGAGACTCAATTCCATCTTAGGTGTGAAAGCTCGCTTCTTTCCGTGTTCTCTCGCTAGATACGCCTGTTCTGGCACATGGGTTTTCATCACCTCTTGGATTCATTCTGTTTCCGTCCGATTGATAGCTAATTTTGGGGGAACTAGTTAAATTTCTAGCACCAAGTTTCAACCTTGTGAAAGGACCAGTTCTTGATGTTTGCTATGGTGTTTTTGCCTTTTCGATCCAGCGATGTTTGTGCCTATAGCAATGGCGTTAACAGTGGGAGCTTTGGGATGGGTTTATCAGTCCTTAAAGCCTCCGCCTCCTAAAATTTGTGGGTCTCCTGGTGGACCTCCCATCACTTCTCCAAGGGTACAGCTTAGGGATGGGAGGCATTTGGCCTACAAGGAGATGGGAGTTGCTAAAGAAGAAGCTAAGCACAAACTCGTCATCATTCATGGATTCGATAACTCCAAAGATATCAACCTTCCTATCCAACAGGTAAAAGAAAAAAAGTTCCCCTTTAAGAACCTAGCTAGGGTTGTATCATGATGTTCCCAATTTCATGCTTTTGTTGATGTTTGATTCCTTGGCTATCTTCCAGGAACTTATGGAGGAACTGAGCTTATATGTGCTGACGTTCGATAGGGCAGGATATGGAGAGAGCGATCCATATCCTTCCCGATCGGTCAAGAGCGAAGCGTACGATATTGAAGAACTTGCTGATAAGTTGCAGATTGGGTCTAAATTCTATGTCATGGGGATCTCGATGGGTGCCTATCCTGCCTATAGCTGTCTGAATTATATACCACATAGGCATGTTCAGTACTAGAGATTTTGGTTATGCCCTATCTGTTTCTAAGAGCAGAGAGTTGGAATATGTTTCACCAGTTTTTTCTTCCCACAGGCTGGCTGGAGTTGCCCTGGTGGTTCCATTTGTGCACTACTGGTGGCCATGTCTACCTGCAAACCTATCGAGCGACGGCTTACAGAAGCTTCTTCCCATGGATAGCAGGGCGTTTCGCGTTGCTTACTATGCTCCTTGGCTGTTCCACTGGTGGATGACCCAGAAATGGTTCCCTTCCTTGAGCCTCACCGCTGGAAACATGGCCGTCTTCTGCCCTCAAGACATGGAGATGATTGCTGAGATGTCGAAATCTCCAAATCCACATCAGGTACCATTGTTATGTTACTACTACTAGTTCCACTAATGTCATTCTCAAGCTATGAAAAGCTTATTGACTTTGTTAATGAAACTTTTTTTCAGGAGAAAGTGAAGCAGCAAGGTGTTCATGAATCTCTATACAGAGACATACTTGCCGGGTACTCGAAATGGGAATTCGACCCCACGGACTTGATCAATCCCTTCCCCAACAGCGAAGGGTCGGTCCATATCTGGCAGGGCACCGAGGACAGGATCATTCCTCGCGAGATAAATCGTTACTTGGCGGAGAATATTCCGTGGATTCAGTACCACGAGGTTGAAGATGCTGGGCATATGTTCATCTTCCAGAAGGAGAAGGTCGAGACGGTTTTACGAGCACTGGTGCAGCCCGGACTAGAAGCCTAAGTGATCTTCTAAAGCCAGTCATAGACAGTAGCAATCTGCTCCAATGAAATCAACCCTTATATGAGTCTAAGCTGTGAAAGCAGTCATGAAAGTGTTACTGTATGTGAGCATAACCTTGTGTGGAAAGCAAGGCTAACATGTAAGTGTGAGCTACTGGAACTTGTATAGCAACAAGGTAGAAGGAAGAAGTGAAGAAATAGAATAAAATGGGCTAGAATTGTAGTGGGCCTACACCAAACCAACCCATCATATCTTATGGACTTCCAGGTGTTAAGATTTACTGGACGGAGCCCATTTTCATAAACAATGGCCCATAGCAAGAACAATATGGAGAAAGAGGGAGACAGGCTCATGGAAAATGTGAATAGGCACTCGATTGTCTTCTTTCTCATGATAAACCTAAGTAACCTAACGTCCCCACCAAGGCACTATACATAATACTGAATTTCTCTATTTCTTTACCCCAATCCTTTGAGCTTCTGATGCACGGAACGTGGATGACTCGAGTTGTTACGAGAGAACAAATAGATCAAAATTATTTTTCTGTAAGTAATATTTGCAGTATTCATATGATTTTCTCAAAGGTAATATTTTGAATATTAGCACGATTTTAAAGGAGAACTTTTTAAATGAATAGAGAGTACTAGAGGTGATGTCAAAACTTAAATCAATAACTTGAATAATAAAAAAGTACATTTTTTATAGATAGATTAGGTTGTACGTTATTCAATTTGTGAGACATCTTTTCACTTTTCCAAGTTTAATGGCGGATCTCCATGCAACAATCAATTTATTTAGTAATGTGATACTTGTGTGATTTTAATTTTATTTAAAAGAACAATAAGGGCAGACTTGTCGACTTATCTTTGACTCATTAGTTCGATATAAGTAACACCAAAATAATTATTATTTTTTATTTCAAAATTTTGTGTAAAGGAAAATATGTGTGATATCATATCATAAACAAATGGCTGGAAGTTCATCTCTTAGCATTTTCCAATAACTCCATTTATTCAAATCATTTGGTTACTCACGTATTATCATAAACTTCACCCGACAAATCTTGTATTCGAACCCTCACAGTACTCTAAATATGAACAATCGAGTTCAGGACAAAATATAATTCGAATTTCAAGTTCATCAAATGTGTTTTTGAAACGACGTGTAAGAAGTATTATTATAATTCATAACTCAACCTCTACCGACATTTCCGTGAGGGAAAGGTGGGTTTTTTTAAAGCACGCAGTCAGGCGTTTGGCATGGCCGCCGGCCGGAGGAAATCGTGATGATCGGCACTCTGTTTTATATGGGTTTATGAGTGCCGCAAGCTCCAAGCTCCATGGCTTGTAGTTGAAGGGAGAAATCTGCAACACGAAACACAAATTGATCAATTAGCTATTAGCCGTTAAAGTGGATTACCCGTCGCCTTTGTCAACCTTTTCCCTTCCTTCCTACTTATAATATAGTCGGCAACGGAGAAAGAGAGGTGATGATGATGGCAGAAAAAAACAGGGGATTGAGAAAAGCCGGACAAGGACGAAATATTCCAGCGAGAAAGGGATTGTTCCTTCTTTTTTTTTAATCAAATCTAAAGGATTCTTCCCCAAAGCACCTGGTGAATTACCTTATTGGAAGTCCCCCCCACCAAATCCTCAATTATGTATTAGTAGCAACGCTCTAGAGCTCTTTACCAACCCAATATTCTTCATCACCAACTCGCAAAATGTGTGTGATTCAATTGGTCTTAATAACTCGAGTTATTGGAAGAAGCTCAAAATTAACTCATAGCCTTTAGTTTTGGCCATAAACCACCATAACATGTGGCTTTAAAACATCGCGGTTAATATTGGTGCTCGTGAGGATTCGAAGATTTGACCTCAAGGGCAAACCAACACGTATGTCATGTCATGAACTAGTTAGTCCCAATAACTCGAATTGTTGGGTTTCCAGCTAGCTCCATGTCTCTTTGCCCACGAAGATCGTAGTTCAAGTGATTGATATGTCTGACTCGTCTTTTGAAAATTTCATTATCCAGATTTTGGGTTTGTGAGACGTTTATATGCTTTGTTTATACACTTTGACGACAAAGTCAAACTTGATTTAATTGCACTATGAGTTTAGATCATGTCGGCCAGATTTCAAAAGTTGGTCGATTTAAGGTTTGATGGTTGGATCTTATGATATCTAGGTTCCATTTTTAAGGTTAGTCATGAATTTGAACAAGATACTTATTGAAAATCAAATACAGAAACGGAAACGGACAACGGATTTACGTGGTATCTCTGGAATTTCCAGGACTAATCCACGGAAGAGCTTGATCACTCTTCGGCTACTGCTGTACTCCAGAATTCTCAGTGACCATACAGAAATCACAGGCTGCGCTATATCAACTACTAAGCAACCCTAGCACACACGTCATTTTCATGGGTCGACGTGAGCTGCATGGGCCTAATAGGCCATTAATACAATTGGCCCAATACTTCTACACTACACTACGTTATTTACGTATTACATACAATAATCATATCCCAATAATCATATCCAACAGCCTCCCCCAAAGTGATGTCGGGGAACTAGCATCAATTTGTCAGACAGGAATCGGTGTCGACTAGTAGAAAATGACTTCGTAAGTATGTCAGCAACTTGATCTTCTGTCCGAACGTAGTGTAGTGCAATAGTACCATCTCGTACTTCATCTCAAACATAATGAACATGTACCTCGATGTGTTTGGTCCGATCATGTAGAACTGGATTTTCTGCTATTCGGATAGCACTAGTATTATCAACAAAAAGATCCATCGGACCTGTAATCTCCACCCCCATGTCACACAGCAAACGTCGCAGCCAGGTCAATTCCGACGTTACATCTGACATAGCTCGGTACTCAGCTTCCGTGGAAGATTTGGACACCTTGTCCTGTTTCTTACACCTCCACGAAATGAAGGAATTTCCGAACTGAACACACCATCCAGTCGTAGATCGTCTTGTATCAACAACCTGCATAATCCGAATCAGAATAAGCTCTCAGTGTTGTTGTCCCTGACGTTGGGAATAAGAGTCCCAACTCCTTAGTTCCACGTAAGTATCTCAGTATACGATACACTGCAGCCAAATGATCAGTCCGAGGATCCGCCATAAACTGACTAACCAGCTGTACTGCATAGGAAATATCTGGTCGAGTAGCTGATAAATAAATCAGACTACCTACAATGCTCCGATACTGTGAACCATCCTTTACCTTATCACCTGACTCCCTGCTCAGTTTTAAATTAGGCTCCATTGGAGTGTTTACCGGAACACAGTCTTCCATGCAGTAATCTCCTAACAGATCTGAAATATACTTCCGCTGACATAAGAATATTCCAGCTGCAGAACGTGAAACTTCTAACCCCAGGAAGTAAGAAAGTAGACCCAGGTCTTTAATGCGAAATGAAGCATGTAACCCATCTTTAAGCTGCCTAATGCCTTCTGAGTCAGATCCCGTGATGATCATATCATCTACATACAGCAAGAGAAGAACAATACCTCTGGAAGTGGTCTTGATGAACATAGAAGGACCGTTAAGACTTTGACTGTACCCAAGACCAACCAGAGTGCCTTGAAATTTCTCGAACCAAGCCCGGGGCGCCTGTTTTAAACCATACAGGGATCGACGAAGCCGGCACACCTGTCCTGGCCTCCCTACATTGTATCCTGGAGGTTTTTCCATGTATATCACCTCATCAAGATCGCCGTGCAAGAAGGCGTTCTTCACATCGAGCTGAGACAGTGACCACTTCTTCATAGAAGCAACAGCTAGCAGAGTACGAACAGTCGACATACGAGCTACAGGAGCAAAAGTCTCATTATAATCCACCCCGTGCTCCTGAGTATAACCCAAGGCCACCACTCTGGCTCTGAAGCGTTCAATAGTCCCATCTGGATTCATTTTAATCGTATAAACCCAACGACTACCAACAGTAGGAGTGTCCGGAGCAGGACGATCAACAACGTCCCAGGTGTGATTTGCATGGAGTGCATCAAATTCACTCCCCATCGCCTCCTCCCACCGGGGATCTCCTTGTGCATCCTTGTACCGAGTCGGAACAACTAAAGTGTCAACACCCATCACCACATAATCGTCAAATTGCGGTGGTGGGATACCCTTTGTTGAACGAAGGGAGCGCCGAGGTTGGGGAATAGGTGTTGTGGAAGTCTCGCCACTAGAAGTAGACCCAGGAGAACTTGAAGACGCACCAAAAGTTGGTGGAGATGTAGTAGGTGAGGATCCAGGAGAGTCCACATCATCAGGGGGAATAGCAGGAACAAGATCATGAGTAGGTTGATCATCATAAGGAATCACGGGAAGAGCACTAGACGCGGGAAAGATAGACTCGGAGGTGGACTCGGGAACAAAGAATTTCATGTGTTCAAAGAACACGACGGTACTTGCAACTCGAATGCGCTGAGCTACAGGATCAAAACACATATACCCTTTATGTACGTCACTATAACCCATAAAAGCACACTTCACAGTTCGGGATGTCAACTTCGTACGTTCTCGTTTGGGAAGAAGTACAAAGCACAAACACCCAAACACACGAAGGCGGGAATAGTCAGGCAGACGGTCAAACAATTTAAAAAAAGGACATTCATTGCCAAGCACCGGAGTGATTTGATAATTGATCAAACGAACTGCCGTGACAACAGCCTCAGGCCAGAAACTAGACGGGACAGAGGAAGCTAACAACAAGGCTCTAGTTAACTCGACTACATGACGATTTTTCCTCTCAACCAAACCATTTTGCTGAGAAATACCAGGACATGAATTTTGACTCAAAATACCACGGGACCGGTAAACTTCACGCAAAGGAAAGGAACTAAATTCTCCTCCTGGATCAGAACGAATAATTTTCACTGGTTTGCTGAATTGAGTTTGAACCATATTCAGAAATTCAATTGCAACATCACGCAGATCGGATTTTAGACGAAGTAAGTAAATCCAGGTATATCGAGTAGCATGGTCTATAAAAAGAGCAAAGTAGCGGAATCCATGACGAGACACTGTAGGAGCTGGACCCCAAAGATCAGTATGAATCACATGAAAAGGTTTATGAATAATAGTTGAACTAGATGGATAGGAAATACTAGTCGTTTTAGCTTCAACACAACTAGTACAGGAATGAAAATCAGGCATGCTAACACTGTTTGTACCGAGCAAAGATTTTTTGAACATCAAAGAGAGACGAAGAGAGTGGGGATGCCCCAGACGGGCATGCCAAAGTTCCCACGACTTATTATTAGAAGTACTAGAAACAGCCGAGCACGAACTAGAGGGCAGAGGACTACTGACAGATCTATTGAACGAACTACGTACAACTGGAGAGACAGAATTCCCATGAAGTTCCTCAAGATGAAACAGCCTGCCTTGCTTACTCCCCCTTCCGATCGGCCTCCCCGTCTTCGAATCCTGTACAAGACAGCCAGACGGTGCAAACGATACAATATAATCTTGCTCAGTAAGTTGCCCAACAGAGACTAAATTAGGAACAAGAGCTGGCACATGCAAAGTATTATGTAAATTAATTCCTTTCATCGCTACATCACCCATGCCGTTAACCTTTAGCTTAGTTCCATTCGCAACCATTAATTCCATATCGTTCACCGGAGACAAATTTTTCAAAGCACGAGACTCATGGGTCATATGGTTATAACATGCAGAATCAATCAACCAAGGGGAATGATGTTTACCCGTTCCATTGAGTGTAGCAAATGCGGCGTTGATTGCCGAATTGACAATCTGCTCGACTGCGGCCATTGTAACTCCACCAGTTGATGATCCTATGTCCCCAATAGCCCCTGTATAAGACCCTTGTGGATTCCCTTTGCTGCTGCCTGCTTCACCTATTGTTCCTGCGGGACGTCCACCAGCATGCCGCCATGCATCACGAGGAGGAGCAGGCCTCCAACTCCCATGATCATTGCTTGGATATGCCCCAAAAACAGCCCGATCAGCACGTTCTCCATATCCTGAACGTGGCTGTACATTTCCTGAATTCCCTCGAAGAGTTGGACCACCCTCACGAGCTGCATTCCTCTCTCGAGTTCGACAATCAAGGATAATGTGCCCCATGCGTTTACAGTAAACGCAAAAGTTTCTTCTACGACAATGCTTTTGCACGTGACCTTTTTCTCGGCAGTGATGGCATTCCAAATCAGATACGGGAACCCTCCGCTGAAATTGAGGACGGTCCACTGCATATGCTGAATTATCATGCCTTCCACCTAGCGTTCCGTGCGTGACAGCCGCAGCAACTACAGATTCCCCTTCTCCAGGTCGCAAGTCTATAGTAGCTTGAGTTCTCAATCTAATCTCTTCTCTCATAAGGATACCCAACACCCCATCAAACTGAAGAATCTCTCGATTCAACAAGGTTGCCAGGACAGATTCGAATTCCGGACGCAATTTCATCAAAAAATTCAGAAGCCTTGTCTGCATCCTTTCTGCGATTGCGTCTTCGGTGAGAACAGCCTGGGGACGAAGGGCAGCATGCAGAAGGTCTTGCTCTGTCCAGAGCTCTTGCGCGGCATTGAAGTACTCGGAGACGCTGTGTTCGCCTTGTTCCAGACGAGACAAAGCTAGTTGTATCTCGAACTGACGGGCTGCATTTACTGTGGAATACATGACGGATAGATGACGCCACATACGATTGGCGGTCGGGTACAGACGGAGGCTGAGACAAGTGGACGGATCTACCGATCCAAGCAACCAAGACCTGACTCGTGCATCGTTTTGAGTCCAGGTAGCAACAGCTTGAGGCGTAGCGGCGGCGCCTTCAGGTTTGGCCTGTGTGCCATCGAGAATGCTCAGTAATCCTTTGCCTTCCACGAAAACTCGGAATTGGAATTCCCAGAGTGCAAAATTTGTTGAATTCAGACGAACGGCCGGACGATCGGATTCAATTGACTGAAGCTCTGATACCATATTGAAAATCAAATACAGAAACGGAAACGGACAACGGATTTACGTGGTATCCCTGGAATTTCCAGGACTAATCCACGGAAGAGCTTGATCACTCTTCGGCTACTGCTGTACTCCAGAATTCTCAGTGACCATACAGAAATCACAGGCTGCGCTATATCAACTACTAAGCAACCCTAGCACACACGTCATTTTCATGGGTCGACGTGAGCTGCATGGGCCTAATAGGCCATTAATACAATTGGCCCAATACTTCTACACTACACTACGTTATTTACGTATTACATACAATAATCATATCCCAATAATCATATCCAACAATACTAATAAATCATGTTCAATAACATTGGACTAGTAGTCTTTCTTTGTTGACAAGTTGAGATCGACTCATTAGCAACCAAATAAACAAATTTAATCTAAATAGTCATATTTTATAACATAACTTAAATCCGAGAAACTATCTCTCTTTATTTTTGAAAAACTCAATGACCGTTTTGGTACAAACACTATAATTGAGTGATCATTACGTAACAACCCTCGTTACTACAACCAAGCCCAACTGGACACTAAACTGAACTCGAAGGAAATAACAAGGAAATGGTATTTTGTTTTCTTTAACATTACTGGCTACCAAATTTAAAAGAATAATTTCCCCCAAATAACTTGTTTATAAAAAGGAATATCCGATTCAGACAACGAGCTCAAAAGGAGGCAATGGAAGATGGGTCAACATACCCGCAATCGACCAACTCAGCACGAGGAAGAAGACGGCCAGCAGCAGCAAAACGTTACTGACTGAACTCTCCCAGAGCCTCCACATGAGATATTTACAGAAGATCAAACTTGTGAGCAATCAACAGAGCAGAAGAAGCAATCAAGCTCGTAGTCGTAGTAGTGGTGCTTCCCGCAAGATCCCTGAGCTCCCCCGCCCCCTCCGTCGCCGCCTTGGCTCTCCTCCCAGCTTCGATCGAAGTCTTCCCAATCTCACGGCGAAGAAGAAGAAGAAGAAGAAGGTTTCAGAGTCCCCCGCGGCCGCGCTCATTGGGTTCCGGAGACTAGTTTGAGCATTTCCAAGTTAAATCAGGCAGGTGAGTTCATAAATTTTGAATCTTCTTTTGTTTGCGTTTTTTTGGGTTTGTTTCGAAGTTTCAGCATTGGATTCCAACTGGGTTTTTGCTAATTAGATCTGGGTTTTTGTTTGTTTGCCTTTTTTTTTTTTATTCTTCTTATCAGGGATGATGTCGACGACAGCGGTGGTTCTGATGATTGGTCTTATGGGGATGGTTTATCAGGCCACTCAGCTTACTCCACCGCCGCAAATTGATCGGAAGGCAGAAGAACACGCTGACGATTGCACGAGAATCAGGCTTAGCGATGGGAGGTACCTTGCTTTTAGGGAGAAAGGAGTTCCAAGAAACAACGCCAAATACAAAATTATTCTTGTTCATGGCTTTGGAAGCTCTAAAGAGATGAACTTTCTGGCACCTCAAGTACTGTCCCTTTGTTCTCTATAATACTGTCCATTTCTTGATGGCATTTCAAATATTCTTGGCTGAGTCAGAGAAGAAGTAACAATTTGAAATAGATGCATATTTATGGAGAAAGTGATTCTAAAGCACGTCTTTGCCAAGTGACTAACTAGTGTGTTATTTGCTTGTTTTTCTTTAATACTGGTGGTGGCTGTTTAGTATGTTGGTGAATCAGCATAATTGGTCATAGATAGAGATAGATGAACAATAGAGAGAGCTCAGTCAACTGAGTGTTTTACTTGGATTTGACTATGTTGACAAGAGTGAGAACTGAAACTCACCATGATTTAGTTTCCAGGAATTGATAGATGAGTTGGGGATCTGTTTCTTGCAATATGACCGAGCCGGCTATGGAGAGAGTGATCCTAACCCAAAGAGATCAGTAAAGAGTGAAGCTTTGGACATCGAAGAACTTGCAGACCAACTTGAGCTGGGATCCAAGTTTTATGTTATTGGGGTCTCGATGGGATCGTATCCAGTTTGGAGTTGCCTGAAATACATCCCTAACAGGCAAGTTAATCTGTTTAAGACATGTTTCTCCTCTTCATAGCCTTTTTTGCAACTGAATGTTGTGTCTTATCTCTTGTGTGAGCATTTCGTGTGCAGGCTAGCAGGTGCAGCACTCATCGTCCCAGTTATCAATTACAAATGGCGTTCCCTTCCTCAAAGTCTCATAAGAGACGACTACCGTAGAAGGCTTGTACAGTTGACATACTTATTTTCAAGCTATGCGCCTGGATTGCTGCACTGGTGGGTTTCTCAGCAATGGCTCCCTTCGAATTCTGTCCTAGAGAGGAACCCGGTATTCTTCAACCCTCATGACATTGAGATCTTGAAGAAGATACCAGGGTTCCCAATGCTAAGCAAGGTAAAGCCCCCATATCATATTACTCACAAAACTGAAAAGGGTTTCCTTTTCTCCACCATGGTCATGACGAAAGGCTTGTGCTTTTTTTCGACTCTTGAACCAACAGGCTAAATTGGCGGAGCGAGAAGTTTTCGACACTCTGCGCCATGATTTCCTGGTGGGTTTTGGAGACTGGGAATTCGATCCAACAGAGTTAGAGAACCCATTTCCTTCAAACACAAGCAACATTCATATCTGGCAAGGTTATGAAGACAGGGTTGTCCCATTTCAACTCCAGAGGTTCATATCGGGGAAGCTACCTTGGATTCGATACCACGAGGTTCCTGAAGGTGGCCATCTAATTGTGCACTACAATGGGTTAGGAGAGGCTGTATTGAAGTCACTTTTGACTGGGGAAGAACCTCTTACTCTAGACCATGTAAAACCATAGCTGAACCAGCCTTAAGGAGGAATTTGTCAAATTGATATCACTGCATCATATGATTTGTGTTGCTGGTATAATTAGATTTGAGCTTCTTTAGGGGATTGTATAAAACATTTGTCATTTGAAAGGTGGAAATGAATATAAATTCTTTCATTTACATCTCATAAATGTTAAAAGGAAAAAAAACCTCTCTGGTATACTGCATATGCCTGGTCTCCCAAAATGGGGAAGTGGGGGCATGAGATGGAAAAACCAGAGTCAGAACGAACATGACAACATGTGCATATCTGCCACACTTCTGCAGATGCCTCTCAAAGACGTACAAACCAGGCTAGAAATGTTTTGGTAAGTGCCTCAATTGATTGAACAAGTAATACTCAGCTCACTCTCAAATGTTTTGGTAAGTGCCTCAATTGAATATGTGCCGAGGGATGGTGCACGCATGCACACCTACCGTGATCTGAACAATGATGTAAAGAAAAAGCTCCAAACTTGACCCCTGAATTTCAGCAGAACAAGACAAGAACCCTAAAAAATGTAAAAGAAGAAAGAAGAAAGAAACAGAGGACTTTCTGGTAGCACAAAGGAACAAAAACACTAAAGATCATGGAAATGGAGGTGGTCATCTGTGCCCTTTACCCATGCAGAAAGCAACAAAAATACCCTCAACTCATAAACTCTTCTGTTACACACTTTCCACTTGTTTTTTTATTCGAGAGGGTATGAAAAGAGACCGAGGACATCGATAATCCGAATTCGATATAAAGAATGATTTTCATGAATTAAAAGTTCGAGGATCTAGTTCGCCAAAAATACCCTTAACTCATAAACTCTGTCCCACACTTCCACTTGTTTTTATTCGAGAGGGTGTTAAAGGAGACGAGGACATCGAGAATCTGAATTCGATACAAACAATGATTTTCTTGAATTTGAAATTCAATGATGTAATTAGCTTAGCTTGTAGGTTGTAGGCTTGTAGCATCGAATGATGAGATGAACTTACGAGATTCAATCGAGAAACAGTGTTCTTCACGAGATGAATTTGACCATGATACTTCGAAATCCATATCGAAAATGGACCGGTTTTAGGATAGTACAAGTCTATCAATGACCCTTGTATTAAGGGATGCCCTGTGGCAGTTAACCCCCTTCCCCTCCCTCTCTTGTCATTTTCTTCTTTTCTTGAGAGCCCTACAGATTTTAAGGACTGAAGCCTTGGTTTTACCCTTTCTATGACCTCTCTCTCATTGTTTGTTTCTTTTGCTTTCAACTTCGGTTATATCGATCGCCACCTCACCATCTCTATAAATAGTTCTTGCCTTCTGATCACTGATATGAACTCAACCAACACAAAATATAAGCTATCTCTCTCCATATCCACTTAGAGGTTAGAATCTCCATTTGCTTCAAGGTATTTGGCTACTCAAGTTCTCTTCATGTTCCTAATTCCAACATATATTGTGCCTAAAGTTTGTGATCACTCTCCCAACTAGGTGCAAGATGATCATCCCCGATACTACGACTCAGGCACAAGACGAGAAGGTATCAATACCCCCACTCTGCCCTCACTACGATTCTCTGTGGTCTCTCACCCTGGACGAGATCGAGCTCAAGAGCGGGAGGACCCTCGGAGCCATGACCATGGAGGAATTCTTGTCCAACGTGTGGTGCAATGCTGATTCCACCAATCAAGTTCTGCTGGCACAGCCAAACCCTAACGATGACGATGACAGATCGAGCCAGCAGCAGCAGCAGCCATATGATCAGCAGAGCTCGTCCATCTCCATCCCTCCCTCTCTCTGCAACAAAACCGTGGATGAAGTATGGTTCCACATCCAGAGAGAAATCTTTTCTGGTCCTCATCACTTGAATCCCTCCACCACCACCACCAACAACAACAACAACGACAATGACAGTGAAGTGCTTCACCATGAGGAACAGCAGTACTCTTTGGGATCAATGACGCTGGAAGACTTCCTCGTACAAGCCGGAGCTGTCGTTGAAGAAGCTGCACAACCTGAACCAAGCAACAGCGTCACGAATGTGAGTGGCGACGGGCAGCCGGAGGTTTTGGTGGAGAGAAAGCAGAGGAGGATGATCAAGAACAGAGAATCTGCTGCAAGGTCAAGGGCTAGGAAGCAGGTTGGTTTGGTGCATTGGTTGATTGATTTTCTGTGGGAAGTTGTTGATGTAGATAGCTGACTCTCTATTGCCTCTGATCTGCTTGCTGGCTTACACAATGGAGCTGGAATTTGAGCTGAACTTCCTCAAGCAAGATAATACCAGGCTGCAGCAAATGGTGGTATGTTTCTCTCTTAGACCGATGGATTTGGCACCCAAATCTTGAACATCATGAATTTGAACAACTTTATTGTTGTTGGGATAAAAAAAATCGGAATACAAATTCGTGAGGCACATGATTTTTTGTATATCTAACTTTTGGGACCCTACCAATGAACTCTTTCAAATCTATAATGCAATAAATTCGTAGTAAATTCTTTTTATTTATTTGTCTTTGTTTATCATTTTACTCGCATTAAAGAATATTGTTCCATTTTTTTTTAACTTTCGAATGCATACCGAGCAGGAGATTGAGCAGGCAGCTAGAGAAAAGGTAATTAAACTATTTTCTATATCAACCATTATTGTTTATCAACACTTTACACTCCCAATTTGGAGCTTGATAAATGTTCTTTTTATTCTTTCTTTCCTCTTATTATAATATGAAAGATTATGAAGATGATGAAAGGGGCAGCGCGACAGAAAAAGAAGGCCGATAAGCTAAGGAGCACAGAGAGGACAACAAGCATCTGAGTTGGTGAAATGGAATGCTAGTTAATTATGCTACTTAAATAAATGTCATGTATGGGCAAAACTAGTCATTAATAACATCCACATGATATGTAATGTGTGTTTAATAGTTTTGTCTATATGACTTGTCACCCCTCTTATAGAGTATGTAATGTAATGTGTGCAATAAGAAACTACGAGATGAAAAGCACATAATCTCGTTGGTTGTTGACTCCAAACTTCGAACCTAGATTGTGGTGAATGTTCTCATCTTCGCATTATCACTAGAACAATTTCTTGGAGATTGAAATGCACTTAATCTTGACTAATGGAATGCAAGATCTGTTCTTAGTTTGCATTGATATCCCTTTTTCGTTTGCACAATGTTTAAAGTGTTCCGAATTCGAATAATTTCACCATCGTCTACCCGGTCCAAAAAAGGTTAATGTAAGTCATCTAAGCACCCCCAACAACATCATTGGAGAGGAAGTAATTACAAGCTTTCAGTAAATGGACAACTAGAGAAATAAGACCATTCGTGTTGCGGTAAAGTTGTTTTAATTTGTTAGCGAAGTAGTGTTAGAGATATCAAGAAGTCACAATACTCCCAACCATTTTTTTTTTAATTAACGTAGGGTTAGTTTCACCTTACTTTGTCCACTACTATTGTTCAGTCTTGGGCTCTTGGCTGCACAAGCAGAACAATGAGCTTTACTGGGGATCTAAGTTGATGATGAAATATTTAGTAAAGCAAGTATGGGAGACATTGAGGCTTAAAGCATTAGAGGTCTCATGGTATAAGTTGGTATGGTGCAAGCCTTGCCCCCCGAGATACAACTTTCTTGCCTGGCTCTTATTTAAAAAGCCATTGTCACACGAGACAAGCTGCTAAAGTGGGGAAAGATTGCAAATGCATCTTGTCCATTGTGTGGTGGGGCAGTTGAGACAAGGGAACATTTATTTGTGTAGTGCTCGTTCATCTGCCAGGTTGCTTCTTGCTGGAGATGCAATGTGCTAAATCATAGAGACTCAGATGCAATGTTGAATGGTGTTTTAAATGTAGTAAACAAGGACTCGAGGACAAGTCATTGGCATGCCATGATTTGGTGCCTCCTATTGTCTTTTGTGTGGAAAGAACGATGTGAAGTTGTTCATGGTTCTGTTTGCAAAAGTTCAGCTAAATTGGCTAAGTTGCTGCAAGCAGAGTTGTGCTTTATTGTTGCTGGTCAGAGGGAGTTGCAGGCTGAACTAGTGGTGCTTGGTTACTTATAGCTGCAACACATAATTTTTCTCTATCTTTTAATTGTAAGTAGAACCAGATAGGAAGTAGTAGATGTAAACATAAATCATAATAGCATGGATCTTATAATTAGATGATTTTACGAATCGATAATAGATATGGGAAACCTAACTCGATCCATGACGAGAGCGGCGACGGCGCTGGAGTAGTAATCACCGGAATTGAGTTTCTCCCTCTTGACCCCTTTAGGTTTTAGGTTTAGAGATTTCTGTGATGGCTAAGAAATTCTACGTAATGGGTTGAGAGAGGACCAATCCTAGGGCTTCTTTATATAGACCCACCATCAGGGTATATTAGGAATTTACCTTTCATTAACCTAATCAATATAGGATTTACCTTATATATTAAACCATTAAGTGATAATTACACTTGGGCAACAATTATTCCCTAGTGACATACGGGAATTGGGCTTACATTCTCCCACTTGGTCCATGTGTCATTATATATCACAAGATCTAATAATAAACATAAGTGTGCACATCATAAGATAAATCCATAATATTTAGTTCACCATAAAGTCATAATCAAGTATGAAAGCTAGATTAGGATCATGGCGGTTCTATATCAATTTATCGACATAGTCCCTTCCATGTACCACAAAACCAGTCTCATGCTCAATACGACACATAACAAGGTAGTCATAATGGTCCAACAATAATGTCTTCACTAAAGACAAAAATCTTGTTCTGTTCATATAATGCATAATGTATATATACTGGTCATAATAAATAAAACAAGATTCATAACTTTATTCCAGAAACAAAATAAATGAGCTCAAAGTGTCAATCCATGAAACATAAAATAACTTTAGTCATGACGTCCTATAATCCCCATCCTTTCGACATGTTCAGTAAATGTCTTAGGAGGCAATCCTTTTGTTAATGGATCAACAATCATAAGTTGTGTGCTAATATGCTCGATCAACACCCTTTGTTTCTGAACTTCTACCTTAACGACAAAGTATTTCACCTCCATATGCTTAGCACCCTCCGAATACTTGTCATTCTTAGAGAAGAATACCGCTCGGAATTATTACAGTAAATTTTCAGCGGCTTGGCGATAGTGTCGACAATTCCAAGTCCATAAATAAAATTCTGCAGCCATAAACCATGATTCGTAGCTTCATAACAAGCTAAGAATTCAGCTTCCATAGTGGATGTGGCAATAACAGACTGCTTCGCACTCTTCCATGAAATTGCCCCTCCGGCTAGAAGGAACAAATAGCCAAAAGTAGACTTCCTGGTGTCTACACATCCAGCATAATCTGAATCTGAATATCCAATCACGTCAAGGTGATCAAATCTCCTAAAGGTGAGCATGTGGTCTTTTGTTCCTTGCAGATACCTTAGTACCTTCTTTGCAGCTTTCCAATGATCTACTCCTGGATTACTTTGATACCTGCCCAGCATTCCGACAGCAAAACTGATGTCTGGTTTGGTACAAGTTTGTGCATAATTCAAACTTCCAACAATAGATTCATAAGGAATGTGTTCCATTTGCTTGCGTTCCAATTCATTCTTTGGACATTGTTTGAGACTAAATTTATCTCCCTTCTGAATTGGAACGACATTTGCAGAGCATTCATCCATGTTGTATCTCTCTAGGATTCGGTTAATGTATGATTTCTGAGACAATCCCAACAGTCCTTGTGATCTATCACGAAATAATATTTTCCATAATATTCTCCACCTCTATCAGATCTGACAATTTTCACCTTTCTTTCTAATTGTCTCTCAACTTCATTGATAAACACCTCAAGGTTATCTACCGACTGAGATTTTTCATGCAGCAAATAGATATATCCATAACGTGAAAAATCATCGATAAATGTAATGAAATACTTTTCTCCACCAAGTGATGGAACATCAAAAGGCCCACAAATATCAGTGTGTATAATTTCAAGGAGCTGTGAGCTTCTTGTGGCTGCTTTCTTAAGTGTGTGTTTTCCTTTAATACACTCAACACAAATTCCAAGGCCAGTAAAATCCAAATGAGGAAGGATTTCATTCTTTACTAGCCTTTCCATTCTTTCTTTGGATATGTGACCCAATCGTTTATGCCACAAGTAAGCAGAGGATTCATCAAACAAACCACGTTTACTACCAACATTATGATGCAAGGTTAAGAGAGTCTCAGCGAATAGGGTATCCAACTTTAGTTTGTACAAACAATCAACAAGAGTACCAGAACCCAATAAAACATTCTGTTTGAACAAACTAATAGAACCATTTCCAATGTTCCAAAAATACCCAGCCTTATCTAGTTGAGACACCGAAACCAAATTACGAGAAATAGAAGGAGCATAAAGGGTATTGACAAGGTCCAAATGATGACCAGTATCTAAAACCAAACGATGAGTCCCAATAGCTTCAACTGGAACTTTGGCTCGGTTTCCCATATAGATGAACTTCCCATTTTGCCTTATGGTTTGGGTCGTAAGGAATCCGTGCATCGTTTTGGAAACATGAATGGTACAACCGGTGTCAACCCACCAAGTATTATAAGGAACCTCAGTTAAATTTGATTCGAAACATACTGAAGCACTAAGCTTACCCTTTCTTTCGAACCATGCCTTTCTTTTCAAGCAATCTTTCTGATAATGTCCGGCTTTCTCACAGAAGCGGCATATATCCTTACTTGGTTCCTTATTGTGGATTTTGGCAGATGACTCATTAAGCTTTGATAGTCCTTCCTTGCCCTTCCCATTCTTGTTCCATGGTTTCTTTCCAGCTCCTTTATGACCAACAAGATTGGCAGAATGATTTCCTGGTTTCTTAAGCCTTGCTTCATCTTCAATGAGCATGCTTTGTAACTCATGCACATTCCATTTATCCTTTAGAGTATTGTAATGCACATGGAATGTGCCATACTTTGGAGGTAATGAATTAAGGATGAACGTTACTAGGAAATTTTCATTCACTTCCATTCTCATGGTCTTTAGTCTTGCTGCAATATTCGTCATTTCGACGATATGCTCATGCATGGTACGAGAACCATCAAACTTCATGGTGGTTAGCGTACCCATCAGTGTCCCAGCAAGCGACTTATCAGCAGACTCAGATTGAGAGCTTTCTTTCACGGAATTCATAAATTCCTTAGCACTTTCAGTATCATTGAAAGTTGACTTAATGTTGTTTGCTACAGTCATTCGCATAAACATTAGGCTTAGTCTGTTAGATCTTTCCCAAGCTTTATGGAAAGACTTTTCCTCAACACTGCTAGCATCAGTAAGAGCAGCAGGTTTCTCACTTAAGAGTGCCAAATCAAGATCCAGAACACCGAGGTGAAACTGAACTTGTTCAGCCCATTAAGAGATGTTGAGGTCATTAAACTTAACAACTGACGTGGCTTGTGAATGAAGAGAAACAGGAACAGATGTTGCAAACATATATGACATGTACTCACAGTCTCACACATTAATGCATTGGGTAATAAGCATAAACCATAATACAAATTCGTAAGCATAAACACAAAACATATATTGGTGCTACCTTTGGGCAAAACAACAATATATATGAGATAAATAATCGTAATTGATGCTCAAAATAGTCATATAATTGGTTATAGACATACTCAAATTAGATATACTTGCAATCTTTGGATATACTAAATATATCTAACCAAGCACATCAATTTACCACAATAATGTTCATGAATTATAAAACAAGCAATCAACCTTTGGGCGATTCGAAAATATTTTAGAATCACGAACTTCAACTTTAAAGCATCACATAAACATTAGTAGTTGAACTTGATTCAACTTGATATCTGTAAACCTTCTAATTTGGCCACTTTGGTGACTAACAAATTAATCATAACATAGATATCAAAGATAAAATTTAACTCAAGTCAAAGCAATTGTTAATCATAATTCTCAAAAAACACAGACGCAAAACTTGTTTCATTAATGAGTTTCTATTCTATTATAATAATTACCATCAAGCATGTCATCACAAACACAAGGACTTCAATAATCACAGCCGAAGCCAATAGATAGCAACGAGGTAAAAATTGAATTTACACTACGCAGAGCTTGTGTATATAGCGGCCCTTGATAATAAAATTGTGTTGAAGCATAATGGCTCTCACATACGCAGAGCTTGGCGCACAGATGCAGCGAAAATAAAATACATAAGCGAAAATCATCTATTTATGTAAACCTAAGGCTCTGATACCACATGTAAACATAAATCATAATTGCATGGATCTTATAATTAGATGATTTCACGAATCGATAATAGATCGGGGAAACCTACCTCGATCCATGACAAGAGCGGCGGCGACGCTAGAGTAGTAATCACCGGAATTGAGTTTCTCTCTCTTGACCCCTTTAGGTTTTAGGTTTAGAGATTTCTGTGATGGCTAAGAAATTCTACGTAATAGGTTGAGAGAGGACCAATCCTAGAGCTTCTTTATATAGACCCACCATCACTAGTTGAAATTATCTAACCAAACTTAATGAATAGTAGTAGTATCATGATTCTTAATCTTTCACCATCAATCCCTAGAGAGAATCTATGTTGAACTATATGCATGTCATGTAATCCTCCAGGCTCCAACCATGACCTTTTTTAAGTTTTTCCCTTGCTAGAAATTCCAAACAAAAATTGAGAGCGAAAAGTTTGGAATGCGTTAGCATGGTTACTAGTTTTTTAGTAGTCACGGTGGCTACCTATATCTCCACCCTTTATTCTCATCATTTTTTAATTGACCGTCAGGATTAATTAGAGATAGTTTTGGAACAAAAATAATAACCACGCCTAATTACTACTTTTAAAATATAAATTTCCATATAAGCACCCAAAACCCTAAATACTTTTCCCCGTGCTCTCTCACTTTCTCCCTCCCTCACCGCCGCTCTCACCTCTTTCTCCGGCCACGGGCGAGCCACCAGCACCGTCGCGCTCACCCGCTGATTGCCGTCATCTCCTCTGCGCTCGTCCGCTGATTGCCGTCATCTCCTCTTTCTCCGGCCACGGGATGGATACAGCCACGAACCGAACCTTGGCTTCCCACGATGCTGTAGCCTTCCATTAGTTCCTTCCTATCCTTCCATTTGGCCGAATAGCAATTAAGCAAGGTGAATTGCTTACCAACATCGAGCTGTGATCCACCATACCTTCCCTCGGTTCCGCTGGTAGTGAATGATGATGCGGGCTTACATTGAGTTGTATTTTTTTTAAAATGGTATTGATTTTTTTTTTAAATGGTAGTGATTTTTTTCCGTAGTCGTAGTGTTTTGTAGTATTGGTATTGTTTTTGCCGCATTGGTATTATTTTTGTCGCATTGGTATTGATTTTGTCACATTGGTAGTGATTAAATCTGCAATGGTAGTGTTTTTACTTCTCGAATGGTATTGATGTTTTGTACAATGGTAGTATTTTTTTAATGGATTGGTATTGATTATTATTTTGTTGTTGCAGCGGTATTAGTTTGGCTGAACGTAATCAAGAAAAGATTGAGAAAAAGAAGGAAGAGAGATCTGGCTCAAAAATTGTGGAAATGAGAGAAAGAGAGAGAAAAAAAATTATATTTAATATATTTATGTAATTTTCTAAAATGTAATTTAGTAAAAAAATCATTAATAAATTTTTTTGTTATACCCAATTTGCCCTTAGTAACCACGGTGATCACTATAAAATAGTATTCACCTCTCCCCTACTGAAAGGGGGAAAACATAGTCG